CTCAAATCGTCCTTGGTGTCCTGTGCAAACTTGATTTCTGAAAATGAAGTGCTCCAGGCCCATGCCTTTAACACTGCCTTCTTAGCTGTTAGGTTGGCAGTAATTTTATGGAGCTTTTTTTTCATCTTCAATCCAAGAAGGTGGCATATTCTCTTTGGTTTCCCATTTGTTTTGCTCTATTCATTAATTAAATCTGCTATCTGTCTTCAGGTTTGGACTTGAAATGTATGTCTCTGCAGGCTATAATCATAGTCTATGTCATCATCAAATCTAGAGGTACCCTGAGACCTGGTCAGGAGAAGACTTGAGCTTTTTTTAAAATTTCACTTAAACCTTTGCTATCCTCCTATGATACACATTAAGTCCTCTATTTGTATTTTCAAGTGCATTTTTAGTTAATCCTCATAATAACTCTGAGATCATTATAAGGTAATTTTAACCCTTTAAAAATACCCTTGTTCCTGGGGCCGGCCCAGTGGCGCAGCGGTTAAGTTCACAAGTTCCGCTTCTCGGCGGCCCGGGGTTCGCTGGTTTGGATCCTGGGTGTGGACTTGGCACTGCTTGGCAAAAGCCATGCTGTGGCAGGCATCCCACGTATAAAGTAGCGGAAGATGGGCATGGACGTTAGCTCAGGGCCACTCTTGCTCAGCAAAGAGAGGAGGATTGGCAGTAGTTAGCTCAGGGCTAATTTTCCTCAAAAAAAAGGACAACTCTTGTTCTGATGTCAGAACTGCCTCTGACATCAATGCTCTATTAATATATTATGGGCACAGTACATGTCACTGTCTATGGTACACATAAATTGCACCATACTTTGCAAACGCTGCATATGCTTATAGTTCATACAGAGTATCTTGTATATAAAACAAGCCTGTAGATTTAAAAAAAAAAAACGTTTTACTTTATCTATTCTTTTCTAATTAGCTATTTTCACAGAGAGTGGGACAGAGGTTTCCACAATTGCTGGTTAAAATACCTATATTCTGAAGAGGGAGCAGCCTGATGATAACAACTCTCCCTCATTCTTTGGCTAATGGGCTACTTTGGTACAACTAGGAACCTCCATTCTCCATCGCTGGAGTAAGCTCACGGGAGGGCAGGGACGACAGGGGAAATTAACAGCTCAATCATGCGTCTCCTGTGGAGGCTGGCTCTGTTTAGACCAGGGCAGTGGTGAATTACAGAGGCCCAGGCCCTGTCCCACTTCCATAAGCCTGGACTTTTAGTAACTCTCTAGGTTGCTCTTCTGCACACCAAAGTTTGTGTAGGTCATTCCTGACCCCGGGAATCTCTCTTAAAATCAGCTCCACTCTAAATACGTGTGACAATCACTTTCAACTCCTTCAGCCATTTCTTACACCTCTGCTCCAGCCTTACCCACACCCCCACTTCCAGAGATTCTCTGTTGGCGACTCCTGAGCCTTCGGGGGAGCTCTGCGGACAGCCAGACCCCAAGAGGTGATCCAGGTTCTGCTTGCTTTTTGGCTTTCTCCAATCCCAGTCTGGGATTCAACTTTCCCAAGTCGGATCCATTACCACACATCCATCTACTTACTGGTTCCAGAATTTTGTTGCTGTTGGCTTCTATTCTCTTTGCCCTTGTGGAATTATGTCTTTCATTTTTTAAATCTCTTTCGTGTCATTTTAGAGTGGTTTCAAGAGGGAAATCTGCCATCTTTAATCAGAAGCCTATATCATTTAATTCTTAAATCAAGCTCCATTTCTCAGAGGACACTGAAGCTCAAAGGGGTTGACTAACATGCCTAAATTGCTAATACATGGTGCAACCAGGATTTGTGCCCGGACAGCTGGATTTTGAACCACTCTGCCCTACCACCTCACTATAAAACCAGAAGCTAAAGATTCTTTTTCATTGCAAGAATGTCATAGGTGACAGGTGGGCAAAACTAAAAACAGAGCGACTCTAACTTGGAAATTGGCGGGTGATATTAGATCCCATTAATATAATGGCATTGTTGTATAACACATGAATTAGAAATCGCTGATGAATAATAGATTATATCAACTGTTTCTCTGAGCCTAAGGCCTTTCAGGAGAACTTTTTAGAACAGCTAAAATGACATCATTTCCAGAACAGTTTGATTTGTTCTGTGCATCTGAAAAAATGAAAATACAGCCAAAGGACTCTCTTAAAGTGTGGACATTTTCAGACAATAGTCATAAGACTGAAAAGAGGCTCATTGTAATCAAAATTGCACTTTGTATGTTGCTACTTCCTGAAATAATCTGGAACTAACGTATCTAAGCAACCCACTTCCTGTTCCTTGAGTTACAAGCCAGCTAAAATCACGACAGACCAGTTTTCTGTTACCAGAGGAAATGGTTCCATTTAATTTCAGAACCCTGTGATAACACTTTCAGGGGCTTCTGAAATTAGATTTCACTCCTGCCTTGAGCTCAACGGTGTACTGTTTGCGACATTTTGTGAGATATCTCAGTCCATTTTTACTGGTTTTAGCTACCGGCTTTCAGTAATAATGTAACATACACCATCTTCAGCATAAGATTTCTTTGGTATAATAAGAAATGTTATTGGTATTTTATAGATCATAGAAACCGAATCTCGTTTCATTCTTTGGTGCATTTGAGGATTTAAAAAAAGATTACTCCTTGAGGCTGTGATTCCTTTCCTTCTAAACCACCTCCCTCAGATTCTGAAAATAAAGAAGGGTTGCCAGCATTTGCATTTGCATCATAAGGACTTCAGATTTGACGTAGTGCATGCGTGCTCTTGTAAAACTCGCCACTACTTATGTGGGACTGTCACTTTCTTCACACACAATCTATCCTAGATCTTGGATATATGGTGTAAACAAAAGGGTGTTACTTAAGGGTCTTGGTTTTGTTTCTTCATCTGTCAAATGGAGATATTATTTACCTTGGGACACATGTTTGCTATGAAAATTAAATGGAAAAAAATTGAGGTGAATGAACTATACAGTACAGCACAATATTGATCATCCAAAGTATTAACTTAACTCAAAAGCATAGTAGGGTGGAGGGAGGAAATATCCTGGAAATATAATGAGGCTGGAAATCAGGAGACTGAATATGAAGTCACAGCCTTGCCTGGAATAGGTGAGAAGCCTTGGGCAGGTCACTTTCCTTCTTGGTTACTCAGATGAGTGTTATGTCATCTCCAAAATTTCTCTGATTGTCTGAAGACCTGGGGCTATGCCGGAAAAATAGAGAGGAGAGTGGAGGAAGGAAACTTCCTAAATCCAGAAACAGTAGACTGAGATTGTTTTCCTCCTTTGACATGAGCATCTCAGACAGGTGATGGTTTGGGCCTTGACCACTATCTGAGATGCCCCTCGCTAATGGGCACCAGAGGAGGGAGTGACTTTCAAACCGAGGAGTACCCGAGGAGCCTGGGTCAGGTGGTGTAAGCAGAAAGAACCAGGAACTTAACTCAGTCTCCAGTAATTGCTGTTTGCAGTCTGGAGACAGGTTCTTTCTTTTCTTAAAGTTTTTAAGCCAAGCAAAGGAGAGCCCCTGAGGCTTCCCTCTGGATTATTCCTATTTGCATGTCTCCTCCTGTGCCCCAGATCTCTGGCACATCTCCAATAGAGTTCTTTCACACTGTGTATGAATTAATGTCACAGTTTGGGGTTGGGAAACACGTCCCTCTAGAGAATCTCTAAAATCATCCTCAGGATTCTGTTCTTGCCTTTACTTCATAATTTAAACCTGGAGGCCTGCCAGTCCCTGACATTGTAATAGGAATGCACAAAATTTATCTTCTTTGTATATATCAGGATTAATTTGTTTTCCCAATGCCCCTTCCTCAGTTTGCCTACATCTCCTCATTTCTCAGACCCTTTTTTTTTTTCCTCTTTCTCATCCAGAAAGATACTTGAACTTGAGGGGAAAAGGAGACTCTTCCAAATCTTATATGTTACCTATGAGATTTACATATAACAATTACCTCTTAAAAGGGAGGGTTATCTGGGAGATAACGCTTACTGCTTACTTTATACATTTTCATATACTGAGTTTGATATGCACTGTATAACTTTTATTATCCATTAAAGTTCAGTTTTTTTACATTATAATTACATGACTTTCTGATGACCACTAAGTGTTAAAAGATATCTTCTATCTTTTTAAAGTACGTATATGTTCCTTAACGTGAATATTATCTATTTTAATTAATATGATTTTCTTTTCTCCAGAACCTCAAAGAAATAAAATTTCAAATGGCAAGCCTTGTTTGTTGGGTGTATCACACAAGTTTTATGCATGTAAATTTACCCACAAAATTTTTTATAAACACTCTCAAGGACATAAGTCTCCTTTTCCTTTCTAATAAATGTTGGGTCTTTTTAGCATGTTTGGCTTTTCTGGGGTGGAGGATCCACTGGATCTTGGGGTCCTCCTTTCTGCATCACCTCTTGGGGTGTGGTACCGTCGACATACAGTTTACAGCTTTGTGGGCTGACTTCCGTGGCTTCGGTGCCTGGGCAGTGCTCGATTCTGGGAGGTGTTCCATCAGTACTCAGGAGGGTAGCACACGGAACATCGGGTTGACCCAGGGAGGTAGTTATTTGGCTGCCACAAAATTAAAGTTTTACTGTATTTTTAAGAACTCTATAATTGAGGGTAAATTTCTGGTTTAATATTTGTTGCAACTTGCACTGTAGGAAAAAGCACTAGTGGGCTCTAGTTGTGACTTTGTGGCCAGCTGGGGCACCTTGATCTTGACCAACAAGTTTCCTGAAGAAATAAATGGCCCCTGGAGTTCTTTCCACTTTGAAATCTCCCTGGCTCTATACGGTGCAGTGAGAGGCGTGCTGTCCAGGGAGAACTTGCCAGAATGAGGCTACGTGGTTGCAAGTTACCTGAAGGGCTGTGCTTTGATCCCATGAACCTTTTTTCCCATGTGACACATTTATTGCTGCTCCTTGAGCCTTGAAATAACTCTTGGAGGGAATTGCGGGCCGGCCTCTCCTATCAGCTCTGTGCTCTCTGCATTTCAGATGCCTGGGACAGAGGAGCCCCAAGATGTGTGTGGCCCTGAGGATTCCAAGGGGAACCTGGAAAGTCCCAAACAGGGCAGCAGTAAAATGAAACTCAAGAGTCGTCTTTCAGGTAAGCGGGACTCCACCTGAGCTGGCCTGTCTGAAAATGAGCTTCCAGCCTCACTAGTGGGAAGATAAAGCCATTAACAGGATGAGCTCTTTTTCTTCCTGAAAACCTCACAATTGTTTTTCCTTTAGATGGTGCGTGCCCTGGGCATAACCACTGCATTCATCCTGGCTGCCCACATGAAGATTTTTTTTTTTGAGTCATAATGAAGTGAATGTCAACCTCTCTGTCTCTGTTTAAACTTGAATCTCCTATGTGTTTGGTTCACTTACTCCAATAGGACTTCAGGTGACCTTTTCGCTATGGAAGATTCCTGAGGGCCTGTCTTCCCAGCAAACATACCTCTTCCCCCAAACTCTTGGTCCACCAGAACAGGGGGCAAAGAACTATTTATTTAATGTCAAATCTGAATCCCAAGTAAGCAGGGGCAAAAAATGGGATGGAGTTGCAACTTATGGGACAAATAGATTTCACATTTCCTGGGCTTATTCTTATAGCAGCTGGCCTGTGTCTTGAGAGAGAAAGTCAGTGTTGAAAGCAGAGGGAGAGAAAGTCAATGTTGAAAGCAGAGGCTGTGTGCGGGGACCCATGACGATTTTTGTGGGTCCCAGGCACTTTCACCCTGACAGGCTCTTTCTTTCCTCTATTAAAAAAAATATACTCAATTGTGTTTTGTGGCTGCATTGGTATAAAGATTCAAGCTAGAGTCATTGTTATCTCTTCATTACCATTATGTTCATTGTTTTTCCTTCTGAATTTAAAAGAAACTAAAATTAAAACATTGCTGTGGGCCTCTAAAAGTGATGTGGGCTTTCGGCACTGTGTCTACTGGCCTAATGGAGAAGTCGGCCATGGTGCCGCACCCAGCAAAGATAGCTGGTATAGCAGGAAAAGCAAGCGTTCGGAAGCTTGGCAGAATCAAGTTGACCCCTGAGCTCCCGAGTTACCTTATGACCTTGAGCTGGTTCTTTAATGTCTCTGAACTTCTACTCCCCCACCTGAAGAAAGGCGCTAATAATCCCAACTTTGAAAGGTTGAACAGATTAAAAAAGGAAAGCACAGGAAAAGCAGCTAGTGCAAAGCATGGTGTGTTAACATCCAAAAAATGTCGATTTCTTCTTCCTGCCACACAAATCAGGGAAAGGGTTGGCATCTATGCCTGCCAACCAAGAGCATCCCTCTCCCGCGCTGCCTGGCTCCCTCCTGAGTTATTCTCAGGTGAGGTGGCAGGTATAGGACTTAAAATACATCAGTTGTTCTGTTTTGTTTTGTTTTTAAAATCTGAGTATCAAAATGAATTACTTTTGTATTTGTAACTCAGAATAATTAGGCAGTATATATCTGAATGAATGTTAGAATGTGAGTTTGTGACAGAAAGCAATATGATGACCAAACGCTGATAAGTCTGAGTGGAGACATTGTGCCGAAGGTCCTCTCATGGAGAGAATGACCAGCTCCCTTTCAGCCCTGAGGAACAACTGGGAGAAATACATTTAAGTCCTGTATGTGTTTGGGGCCGGGGAGTCACGGGGCATAGAGGCCATCTTTAGGTCAGCTGTCTTGGCAGAGTTGATGAACACCTTATAAATGGTGCCTAGGGGAGGGCCACAGAGCTCCGGGGAGATATCAGGAACCTTTGAAACCAGTGCAGTCACATTCCTCATTTTATGGATGAGACTGGAGAAATGAAGGGAACAAAGGTCACTCACTTATTGAGTGCCAGCAAAAAAACCTGCCTCCCAGACAGAGTTCTTGTTACCCACCATCCTTCGGCATCCTGAGGATGTGGGAGAGGATCCTGTTCCCCTCTCTGGGCTTATAGATACAGATGTCGGGAGGGGGATAGCTGAGGACCTTCCAGGTTCGTGATTCTCTGTTTATACTATCAATTTAGAATGAGCAACACATTCAGCTGAGCAGTAAGTCCAGGGCGGGCTACAGTTTGCCACAAATGGATGTCACCATCTCTTCCTGTATCCTTCCCAGACATCCAGAGCAGTAATAAGGAAATACAGAATAGTGGAAGAAACACATGCATAAAGTCAGATAGAACTGTGTTCAGTTCCCAGCTCTGCCACTACTGGCTGTGTGACCTGGGATAAGTGACTTAACTTCTCTGGGTCTCTGTTTCTTCTTATGTAAAATGAGGGTTATAACGTACATTTATTCTGGAAATTACCGTAAGTGCTGTCTAAATGCCAGGTCTTGTTGAAAGACCAAGTTGAGAGAATGAATGTGGCAGTGCCACCCCAGAATGTGGCAGCAGTAGGCCCTCACCGTGTAGTAGCCGCCACTGCTATTACCTTGTCGTCATTAATATCACGTTAATCATTGTCATTGTCATCATCCTTGTTCTTTCCTCTTTCCCTCTCAAGAGGGGAAGATGCTTGAATGGGTTCAGACAGGAAGTTTCTCGAGAACTTGTAGACCACAATAAAGCTATGAAGCTACCAAGACTGGAAGTCTCTCTGGGTTGTGGTACTCAAGGAAGGCATCCGGAAGATGCAAGACGAAGGAGAGCCAGGTCCTTGGCAGGATTCTGCAGAACAGGGGAGGAGGAAAACAGTGGCCTAGACTTGGAACAAAACACGAGAAACGTTTAAGGACAGCAGGGGGAAAAAAAATTGGTCAGAGCAGTTTTTGGCAACTGTTTTTCCTCCTCAGCTATCAGAGAGATCCCATAATCTGACAGTAACAGTGATTCAATCCAGCAGAGCTTGTCCAGATTAGGGGAGAGGAGACCCTTGGGGTGGGAGGTGACAGTGCAGGCAAAGTTGGATGGAACTTCGAGTGGTATTTCTCTGCTTCTTGGTTTTGGAAAGGATACAGGCAGAGGACGGATTCCCTCCTTTGAGAATCAGCAGGATAGAGCACTGAATTCACGGGGCAGGCTGGTGGGAGATAAGACTGGAAAAGTAATTTGGAGACACGATAAAGAGGCTTAAGAATTGGATCTTCTAAAGACATTTGAATACGGGAGATTTTAATGTGATCAGCTCCTAATTTGTCTGCCCTGTAAACTTCGATATTTACTTCGTATTTTCTCAAAGTGAGTCATTCTAGTATTCACTTGTCAGTATGTTATCTACAGACACTACCGTATGTGGTTTCTCTTCTGTCGATGGCAAGTGCCTCCTTGTCAGCTCAAAAGGAATTTTCTTCTAATAAATCTTTTTGAGATGAGTAAGCATGCCAAGATAGATTAATCTGGTCATGAATTATTAACTCATGAATTATTAAGGAGGTTCTATAAAGAGGTTCCAGCCATTTCTACTAAGATTTTTGCCCAGTCTGGCTCCAAAATGACTAAAGTGATTTCATGGAACATTTTTTCTGATATTCTAACCTGAATTTTCTCTACTTTATACCTCCTTTATTGCCAGCAGGATTCCCTCTTAATTCTGGTATTTTTGACTTATCCATGTTAATGCCTTAGATTTGTGATCTTTTTAAATGGAAAATTTTCTTTGATTGCAAAGGAATTTCAGATGTTTGAAAACCTGTCTCACAAAGTTAAGACTTAGCTTTTGAAAAACCAAGCCTTTAGTGATGTCTATTGTAATATAACTGTACAGCACTGTTTTGACTTTTCATCACAATTAAAAATTCATCAATATATTATATTTTTAAAAGAGTACAGAGTCATCTTGTTTTATGCCATGGAAAACTTCCCAATAAATTTGTAGGTAAATTGAAATTTTATGTCATCAAAAGAAACATTACATAGTCTAGGAGAACTTGATATTCCCAAGAATCTGTATGTGTGTATAGCTATGGACACAAACACACATATACATGCATCTGCTAACAGATGTTAGCTCAAAGCCAATCTTCCTCACCAAAAAAAAAAAAAAAAAAAAAGCCAATGAATATTTGAAAAGAAGCTTAATCTCATTAGTCATCAGTGAAATGTAAATTTTAAACCACAATGAAGTGCCATTATATATCCACTGGAGTGCCTAAAATTAAAAAGACTGACACTGCCCAGCATGACGAGGATATGAAGAAACTGTCACCACGCATGCACAGCATCAGTAAAGGTGAATGTGTACCTGTAACCCAGCAATTCTGCTAGGTTACATCCCACAGATATGACATGTAAAAGAGATAGGTTCAAGAATGTTCGATAACAGTATATTCTAGATCAAGGGTCAAACTACTGCCTGCAGTTGTATTTATATGGACCACAAGCTAGAAATGCTTTCTACATTTTTAGTGGGTTGTAAAAAGTTTTAAAAGAATATGCAACAGAGACCGTTTGTGGCCCACAAAGCCTAAAATATTTACTATCTGGCCTTTACCAAAAAACTTTGCTGATCCTTGTTCTAGGTCTAAAACCAGAACTAAACCAAATGTCCATCATCAATAGAATGGATAAATAAATTGTGGTATGTTTATACCATGAAATAGTATACAGAAAAGGGACGAACAAGCTATTGGCATGCAATAACATGGTCTAATTTCACAAATAAGTGCTAAGAACAAGGAGCCAGACACAAAAAAGTACATATTATATGCGTTCGTTTACATAAAGTTCAAAAATAGGCAACAGTAATCTATGATGTTAGAAGTCGGGAATAACAGTCACCCTTGGGTAAGGGGTGGTTAGTGGCACAAAAGGGGCTTTTGAGATTCTAGTAATATTCTATTTCTTAGTCTAGGTGTTGGTTATTGGCACATTCACTTTGTGAAATTTCTTGGAACTATACACTGATGATTTGTGCGCATTACTGTAAGTCGTTATATTTTAATAAAAAGTTAATTTAAAAAGTCATTACTGTGGCCAGCCTGGTGACGTAGAGTTAAGTTCACATGTTCTACTTCAGCAGCCCAGGGGTTCACCAGTTTGGATCCCAGGCGCGGACCTATGCCTTGCTTATCAAGCCATGCTGTGGCAGCATCCCACATAGAAAATAGAGGAAGATGGGCACAGATGTTAGCTCAGGGCCAATCTACCTCAGCAAAAAGAGGAGGACTGGCAGTGGATGTTATAGCTCAGGGCTAATTTTCTTCCCCAAAAAATTAAATAAATAAAAAAGTCATTATTATACATGAAAAAAAGCATCTGGCGTAACAGTGGAACTATGGCAACCACAAAGTGATATTCCTCCTCACCAGAAAACCACCTACTGATAGCATTGTCACTATTGTTTGTTGGCTTATTAACCACGGCTACATCTTACTTGGGTGAAACATATTCATTGCCCCTTATGCAGTCCGCTTACTTCAAAACCAGGCCCTTTCTTCATAGTCTGGCACTAATGGCCTCAACACACACCTAGCTTATGCAGAGCTTGGTGGCAGAACACGGTGAGCTTGGTGCTTTGAAAGTATTGGATGCCAGGCCTCCTGAAAACCCTGAATTCAGGTGTCAAGTCAATGAGTTTATGCCTATGAATGCTCTTAAGATTCTTTTCATCCCATATCAAGCCATGTTTTCTTCCCCTCTTTTCTCAAGGGGGTGTACACCGTCTAGAGTCTGTTGAAGAATATAACGAGCTGATGGTGCGAAATGGGGATCCCCGGGCCAGGATGTTGGAGGTCTCCCGAGATGGCCGAAAGCACTCTCTTCCCCAGCTGCTGGACTCCTCAGGGGCAGCACAGGTAGTCCCATGGCGTGGAGCCTCTTGCTCTCTCGTACAGCCATCGTTGCTTGTTAGGGATGGAAGAGCATGTTTCCAGCCCAGGGTCTCTAGTCTTTCTTTTATTCTTTCAAAGGCCAGCAAGAGCTTCTGTGTTCTGAAGAACTGCCTGTCACTGTGGGCCAGGAGTATCTGGGACTAGAGATACAGTACAGAGAGAGAAGTCTATCCAGGGAGGCTAGAAGGCAATCAGCGTAATATTTGAAAATAGGGGAAAAAAAAAACCCAAAACTGTTGTTGAGTCTCGACATGTTGACCCCCTTCCTACTGTGTGTTTTGGAACTGAGAGCTGCTCTCATCTGCCAGAAGACAATGGCGCCTCACAGTCTGTGGTGAACCACCATCGCTTGTTTAGTGGACAAGTCATGTGTCAGCATAACAACCGGGTGGGCGGGTTGGTGTTGGGACGTATGGGAGAGGGAGGGAGTGTGTGAGTGCACCTTTGCCGTGCCTCGGATCCTGCCTGTTACATGGCAGTGACTCAAACAGCCTAGGGCAGAAGGGGCTGCAGAGAGGGGTGAAGTGGGTGGTGATATTAATATTCCGGGGCTTGTCCCCTTCGGAACTGAGAGCTCCATAACCCTGCACAGGGGTTCCTCCTCAATTACATCACTCCTCAACCCACTCAAAACTGGGTAGATGTCTCCTGACCAAGCTAGAGGCAGGCTCAGTCTCTGGGGAACTTGTGAGGTGTTCTTCGAGTCCTGGCACCATCCGGCAAAGGACTAAGGAGGACCCACTGGTATCTTGTCCCGGGGCCTACAATGGAGGGGGAGAGTGTGGCAGCAATGACACCCATACATGCTTGGAGACTTATAGATGGTAGAGTTCTAAAAGACCTGAGTCAGGTCATCTGGGTTGACCTTGACCCTTACTTTTGGAGTGGTATCACTGTTTGACAGATAGGACAACTGAATCTCACAGAGGTTGGATATTTTGCTCCGAGTAATATGCCAGAATCACTGTGAAGAAAGTTTTACCTGACCAGTAAAATAGAAAGTGCTCATGTTTCAGAGGCAGTTGCTATTTTGTGTTGAATCCAGCTTGAGTTGGGGCACCGAGAAAAAACAGAGCAAAAAGCTTGCATGAGACCTGATTGAAACTCCTCCAGACCCGTGTCTGGAGACAAGTCTGTGGCCTGCTCAGAATGATCCAGTCGGACCAACAGAGTCAGGAGGAGATCAAAAAGTAGGAGAGCCGCATGTCAGGCTGTTTTAGTTAGTGTGGAAGATGAGAGAGAGTTTACTGCCATCACGGCCAAGGACGGTCTAGCATGGAAGCAGTGATTTCTTAACTGAATAACCGACCCTCTGAGGAAGCCTGACCAGATTTATAGCCCAGAAATACCTGTTTCTAACCAGGCTTCCAGGAAGCAGGAAGCACAGTCTGGTGAAGAGGCTTTTTTTCTTGTTCTGTCTCCCTACACTAAAAAGTATTGTCTGGAGTAGAGCTATCCAATAAAGCTTTCAGCAACGATGGAAATGTTTTATATCCATGCTGCCCAATATGGTAGCCACATGTGTCTGTTGGGCCCATGAAAAGTGGCTAGTGAAACTGAGGAGTACATTTTTTATTTTAATTCATCTTAACTTAAACATAGCCGCAGGGGCCGGCCCCGTGGCCGAGTGGCTAAGTTCACATGCTCCACTTCGGTGGCCCAGGGTTTTGCTGGTTCGGATCCTGGGCCCAGACCTGGCGCCACTCATCAAGCCACGCTAGGATGGCATCCCACATAGCACAACCAGAAGGACCTACGACTAGAATATACAACGATGTACTAGAGGGCTTTGGGGAGAAGAAGGAGGGGAAGAAAGAGATTGGCAATGGATGTTAGCTCAGGTGCCAATCAAAAAAAATACATATAGACAGCGCGGTGACTAGTGGCTGCTGTATTGGAAGCAGAGGTCTAAAAAGTGCAGTGGGACCCCTGAAAGTCTTCGAGAAAACAGTGAAGCATGCAGGCCTCTGGTTCCCACTGGCTCCCAAGGGGAGACAGAATGAGGTGCTGCTGGAGTTAGATGATAGAGAAAGAGTTCCCTTACAAATCCACACGTGAACCTCTGTATTCGAGGGTTGAAAACCTATGGGCTGTGTCTGGCCGTCTCTATGATGATTTCAGTAAAAGGGTAGTAGCCTTGCCAAGCCAACATCATTTTTTTAACGAATCAGAGTCTGGGAGGCCAACATTGCTGGCAGATATTTTATAAAACTCCAAAATATAATTGTTCTAAGCTGCTAGGAATACAAAAGTATCATTAGCAGACATTTCATTTCTACCTTTGAATGTAGAATATACTAATAAAGGATAAAAACTATCTTCTGACGTCTCTTTTCTCGTATTAAACATGAAAGCAATATATATATATATATATGTATATATATATATTTTGCTTATGCTAGAGTATCTGTGCCATTTACAAAATTTATTATTCTAAGAAGACTAGCAAGGAGCAAATAGTAGAAGAGCTTTAGCAATAGATTCACTGACTCTCTTGTTTATGTTATAAATAGTGCACCCTGGTTACACACATGTATATTGTGGGTGATGGACAGGAAAAAGAGATCAAGATTTGAGCTGCTACGTGCCAGGAAAGGAAAGTGTGGCTTATGGGAAAGTATTTTATTTTCCAAATGTGAGGGATTCGAACTGAAGCTGCTGCAGTTTCTCAGCGGGCTGCTTTATATGGAATAACAGCTATCTGGGTTTGCGGTCTGGGTTTTAGAAGAAACAAGGGCTTGCTAAGTTTTTGAGTGAGTGAATTAAGCTTAAAATGGCAAGACACTTTCTAACCATGATTGTGAAGTTGGGATGAGGGCAGAGGGTTACTTCCAAGAGAACCCGACCACAGGGTGGTCATCCTACATCTCTGAGCCCTCTTGGTTTCTGGTTCCTGACTCCATTCCAGAAGGTGAGAAGTAGGCTCTATGAAGGACAGTCGAGGAAAGAGCAACACCAGGTGTTTGCGGCCTCCAAGCAGTAAGGGCTATTCTTCCAATCTTCTTTATAATCTTTCTTTAAGCCACTGGACCAGAGATGGACCAGAGAGAAATAGCAGTCTAACCCAAAAGACAACTGAAGTTTTCAAAAATCTGAATAGATTTTCAGGCCACAGAAGGATAAATGAGACTCTCTCTGACCTTGCCATGTGCTGACTTTTAGGAATACCACATTGTAAAGAAGTCCACCCGCTCCCTGAGCGCTACTCAGGTGGAATCTCCTTGGAGACTCATTCGGCCATCGGTCATCTCTATCATTGGGCTGTACAAAGAAAAAGGCAAGGTGAGCTCTTTTCTGTGCACTGTTTTGCTCTCCAGGTAAAGGTTGGCCCGTGTTTTTTAAATAGTTACTTTTCACTATTGTTGTTTTTACATGAAAGAGAAAGTAAAAGGGATAGAGAGGAATAGATTAAGTGGCCTTTGTTATGGATCTGAGTGGATTCCTGGCATCCTTTCCTGTGCGCCTCTGAGCGAGATGGTCACACCCTTTTTGGCCTTATGATGTAAGGTGTCACCTCCGGGTGGCTAGGACACAATAAGGGTAGAGTAAATGCCCCAACTTTTACCACTATCGAGAGAAAATCAGACTCTGCAGCTTCAGGGACTACTCCCAGTTATTCTTTGGAATGAATTTTATGGCATTGTCATATCATAAAGGGAATAATACAAATAACTTGATATTACACAAATATCAAAATATCCATTTTGATATAAAATGGAAAGACTGAAACGAAAGAATAAAACAAATATGGCAGCTGCACAGTGTGACATGGTTCTCATGAGCTATTGTTGATCCATGTGAAATTGCCGTTTTTGGAGATCAAAGATTGTCAAACATTGGCAGTTTCGTATGTTCAACCTAAAACTTCTTCCCTTTAATGTAAAGCATAGCTAGCACAACGCTAATAGATCTGAGGAGGGAAGTGGAGAAGGGAGTACAAACTTGAATTTACAGCTAGTTAGCTTAACTCTGAGCCTGGTTGGGAGAGACACCTCAGTTAAATACTACAATGGGAAGGATGCCCTCAGTTAAATACTGCAATGACAACCTGCACCCCCGTTTGCTTTGGATGTAGGGCCTTGGCTTTAGCATTGCTGGAGGTCGAGACTGCATTCGAGGACAGATGGGGATTTTTGTCAAGACCATTTTCCCAAATGGATCAGCTGCAGAGGACGGAAGACTTAAGGAAGGTAGGGGAAAGCCTCTTGGTGGTCCTCAGTGGCCGTGAGCTTTGATTCCATGAAGATGTGTCCCCTTGCAAGACGGGAAGTGAATGGCACAGCAGCTAAGGCCATGGGCCTGGGAGTCGAGGAGACCTGGGCTGAATCCAACACTTAGCGCATCAGACCTTGGACAATTGATATAACCTGAGCTTCACTCTCTTCGGTTGAAACTTGCAATATTAATACTTACCTTGAAGAGCTCGTGAGGATTAAATGAGATGATATGTGGAAAGTGGCTTGATATTTTTATTTCGGTCTTTAAATTCTACCTTGTCCCCTTGGTCGTTGATCATGTTCCTTTGCCTTGAAGATTCCTGAGAATTTACAGTCCATTCTTGCTCAGGGCTGGAGTACATAAACATCTTTTATGTTCTCCATAGCACCCGCCATTTCGCCATGCATAAACATACCAGACAAGTGCTGTTTTTCCTCCCAGCTTTATTAAGATATAGTTGATATATAACATTGTGTAAGTTTAAGGTGTACGTGATGATTTGATACACGCATATATTGCGAAATGATTTCCAGAATAAGGTTAGTTAACACCTCCATCACGTCACATAATTTTTGTGTGTGTTGAGAACGTTTAAGATCTACTCTTAGCAATTTTCAAGTACATAACACAGTATTGTTAACTACAGTCACCACTAAGAGAACTTATTCATGAATCCTGATTTTTCTACTCCCTTATTAATATACTGACTTCATGAAATGATTAAGTCAGAATATTTCTAGTTACCTTCAGAAAAGTTATGACTGTTCAGTTCAGTTGACCCAAACTATAGGTACTGTTATGTTATTGTGGCTTTTTTTTTTTTTAACTGATAAGAATGAATTGGAGTCTCCTTCTTTTTGGCAGAGCGACCCTAGAAGCCTGTATGCTAATGATAAGACGTGACCAGGCTTAATATTTTGATGGCAGAATATTTATTTCTTTCTCTTAGAGGAAGGGTTAACTCCCAGGTGGTGTTTGTGTCTAGTTTCAGAACAATGTAAAATTCTAGCAGAACATTTTTATAATGGATATACCATGTGTTCACTTGATTGAAATTCATCCTGCAATACTGGTAGAATGGAGCAAAATGGAAAAAAAAAAATCAATAGTTAGGGAAGGTTAATAGCACTTGATTCTCCTAAATACTGTTTTCTCGTATGTGTTCATTTACAATAAGTGTAAGTCATTGGAATGAATTTTCAACCTGTTGAATGATCTGTCTTTTAGAAATCTTATATAAAGATTTTTTAAGAGCATGAGCAATCATTTTAATGTTTCTATCCTTTTCCCATATGGAAACAAGCCAAAAACCTCACCTAGTTGAGGAATTGGTTGTGCCAGGTTATTTTTAAATAGATTATTTCATTTATTTTACAACTTCTGTAACTGGATGAAAGAGAAGGAAGCTAACAAATGCATGGGGGACTGCTACATTTTTGAACTCACCTACAGGATTCCTGTAATCAAACACACAGTGTGCTCCTGGCATTGACTGTCCATGATTGGTGACGATGTCTGTTCTTATGCTGCTTTGCACTTTGTCGTAGGTGAGGGAAGTCTCTCTTCTGTCCTGCACTGCTGTGCAAGGTTCATCTGTTCTTCTCTCTGGGGCCCCTTTGTAGTGTATTTGATGAACTGTTATACCAAAAACCAGACCATGTCACAAGAGTACAAACCAGAAACAAGCTCTGATAAGTCAATAGGATGTCCAAGTTCTTTTATATTCCCAGCAGACACTATCAATAGCTTGAAAATTGACCTGACAATGTCGTCTTGGGGTGAAGATGAGTCCAGGATAGTTTGAGAGAGAGAGTACAATTTGACAGCCTAGAGTAATCTCTTAGATAGAAGTATATAGTAACTTGCCGGCTTAATGACTGAGAACCTGGAACAGCACCAATAAGACCAGGCATCTAGACCGTTTCTGGAGAAGAGGTTGCCATTCTTAAATAACATCTCAGAAGTTGTTTGTCTTTATTATTGAAACCATTTTCCACAGACTGTGATGATTCTCCAGACGTGTCCTTTTGCAGGTATCAGAGTGGCTTCTCACATGTTCTGTGTGTTCATGCCTCATTGCCAGTAGGTTTAAGCTTTTGAACAAAGATTACAAAGACAGACTTGAGACCCAGTTTTTGCAGTTTGATCTCTAAACATAGGACATCTGTTATCAGACTTGGCAATGGCTAAAGAATAAGATCTTGATGCTTCTCATAGTTGTTTAAAGATGGAAATACAGAATTACTGCAAAAGAATATGCATTGTCATTAATTGTCCCATTTTGTGACATTCTTGGAAGCTAAGTTAATGAAAGAGTTGGAACAATAAAATTCATTTTATAGAGTTGTAAATCAGGGACCATATGGTATACTATTCTAGTACTGACTGAGTGGTTAGATTCCAGTAAATTAAAGCTTGATGTTAATGTAATTCTCATATTTGGTCACTAGGGGATGAAATCCTAGATGTAAATGGAATACCAATAAAGGGCTTGACGTTTCAAGAAGCCATTCATACCTTTAAGGTAACGGCATTCTTATTGATCTCCTTTATCTTTGTTTTTCTTCCTTTATTTCCTTCTGGTTTGGGTTTGGTGATTTCTTTTTTCACTCTTTGACGTAGGGGCAGACTGAATGTTTTAGCCCTCCTTTTTTCTTGTTTTCTCAGCAAATCCGGAGTGGATTATTTGTCTTAACAGTACGCACAAAGTTACTGAGCCCAAGCCTCACGCCCTGCTCCACACCGACACACATGAGCAGATCCAGCTCCCCAAACTTCAATGCCAGTGGAGGAACCTGTGCAGGAGGCTCTGATGAAGGCAGTGCTTCATCCCTGGGTCGGAAGGCCCCTGGGCCCAAGGACAGAATTGTCATGGAAGTAACACTCAACAAAGGTGAGACCAGCTATTCGTTCACTTTCGTTACACTCTATCAAATAACAATTTGTAATCTGTTCTTACGTTAATTTTTTGTATTCTTTCTGTGAATTCTTCCTTTGGAACAATCTGCTACCAACAACATAGGGTATTCTCTAAATGGACAGTGGGATCAAAAGGAGAGTTTTTAGTCATTTTAGTAAAGTGAGGGGAAGTTACCAGTAGCACAAAGTCCTTTAAGCTCTCCCCAGATGAATCAGTGTGTGTCAGACTCATGTTAGAAAAAAAAATCACTGACTAGCTTAATTCTAGGGCTGATAAAAAATTTTAAAGAACAAAAGATTATAGTTAAGAATACAGTTAACACCAGTAACTAAAAGTCATGAGTGATCGCTACATCTTACTGCTTTTCATCTTTGTTTTTTTTTGCCCCTGCTCACCTACTGTGGAAATATGATGAGCAATTAAATAACCAAAAGATTAGTTGCTAAAAAGAGAGGTGAAAGTAAACCTAGAAGTTGTGTATCCAGAATAAAAAATATTACTTTGACTCTGCATATTTCCAAAGCCAGATCTGAGGAGGCTGTTTAAGCAGAGAGTAGATCATGGAACAATTGACATCCATAGTTAGCCCCTGGTTCTGCCATGGACTCATTTCATTAACAGAGTATGGCCAGGTTGACAAAGAAAAGCAGGATTTACATTCTGAGTCTGGTCAAAAAATAAATGGTTATTGGTCTAAATATACCTTAATGTAGTTCCAAGTCACTTAAACTTTTCTTTTTTTGATTTTGTTTTCTTGGAATGATGCCTCTCACAGAGCCAAGAGTTGGATTAGGCATTGGTGCCTGCTGCCTGGCTCTAGAAAACAGCCCGCCGGGCATCTACATTCACAGTCTTGCCCCCGGATCAGTGGCCAAGATGGAGAGCAATCTGAGGTTTGTTGTAAACCTGATAGTATGGGGTCTGCATGTTCGTGAATATGTGAATACATGCACATGAAAGATATCTGTCCTGTTACATTCCTTTGTGGGATTCTAAATCTCTGTATTATTGGCAGTATTATAGCCAGGATTACAATTAATAGCATTTCTAAGATAAAGAGCTAATATAAATGAAATTTGGTTGAATTAGAGAACTCTGGATCATGGCTTTCCCTATCTTGTTCTATTTGGACTCAGAAGCTCAGTTTCAGAAACTTGACAAAATCCAGCTCTATACCAATATCTATGAGGATCTAAATATTTTCTTTCAGTTTTTATTCATTTATGTGAAATTCGTATGAGGTACTGGGAACTGTTCATAATGGTTTGGAATCACTGGATACAAGAGAGTCCTACAATCTTGCCCTTGAATAAATAATAAGGGGATAAAAGGAGACTTTTATTATTAAATATAATCTCTTGAACCTTTTCTGTTGTTTCATTCCTTTTCGAGTGGTGATGTCTACATGCTTATTGTCTGAAATCACTGCGTGTCTGATTTCTCAATCCAGCTAGTTGGGCTGTAGCATGGGTATCCTGTTTGTACAAGAGCTGTCTAGATGTTCTATCGTACAGTAATTGCAGTGGGTCCGTGCCCACCTAAATTTCACAGGAATGTACACGTATTGCACAAATCGCTCTGTGCAAACAGTATCACCTTTCTCCTCTATAAGCTTCTAAGTCCTTGAGCAGTTGAGGAATTGTCAAAAGGACATTCCTTGAGGTTGCCATTTTGGGGCCCTGTTAATAGATTATATTATGTTTTTAGTTAATCATCAGAGTGAATTTCCATGCGAAAAAAAATTTAGCAAATCATCCAAAGTACATTAAAGAAAATATACTTTTAGAACCCAAGGAAAAAAATCCTTTAATGACATCCCAAGATGATGTTTCTTTCTTGAATGGTTCCATATGTCTGGAGACTGCCAAATGAACATTCTTCAAACCCCACATAAAGAGTCTTTGTTCTCTCATACTGAGTTCTCTCCCTATAATTTCAAGTCAAAATGGGCATCTTGTCCCCAATTTCTCATTTGTTCAAATTTGAAACGTTTTTACAAATTCTTGGGTAACCTTTGAGCTTCAGATATTTCCTCCTTAAATTATATTACAATAATCATTTCAAGATGGTAGGAAAAAAGAAACTGATGGTGGTCGAGGGGCTATCATGTGATGATCAAGTGGCAGACAGACCTGAGTTCAACAGTGGGTGACATCTGGGTGACCTCTCTGAACCTGTAGCCTTATCTACATAATGAGAATAATAATATCTATTCAAAGCATTGTTATGTAGATTGCTTTGTATAGTGCCTGGCATACACTATGTGCTCAAGAAGGGGTTCTTATTATCATTTTACTTAACTTTGCTACTTCTGAAAATTCATGTAGATATGCATAATAGCCTTTGCCAATTTAAAACCGAATGTGCTCGTGTGAATGTGTTGCTTTTTTACACATATGCAAAGATGAAAGGATGTCAATTCCCTCTTTAAAGTATTCAGAAAAGATTTCATATTATAAACGTCTTCCAGAAGGAAATCTTGTAAAAAGCTAACAGTTACCACAGAGTGTTGATTGTGTTGCCCTCCGCAGCCGCGGAGATCAAATCCTGGAAGTGAATTCAGTCAACGTTCGCCATGCTGCTTTAAGCAAAGTCCATGCCATCCTGAGCAAATGCCCCCCAGGACCCGTTCGCCTTGTCATCGGCCGACATCCTAATCCAAAGGTGAAGTATTTCATATGGTTCTGAGTATAGGAATGCCGCTTGGCTATTTGCCCAGTAGCAGTGACACACACTGTATTTCTATGACAATGCATACTCTTTGGTGACAGTTCACCCAGCTGGGGATGGGAATCAGCCTGTGGCCAAGGTAACTGATACACATGGGAAAGGAATTGTTGATCTGGACTTCTTTGTCTTCAAACTCTTAGAAAAGTCTACTAGAGAATTTTGACAATATTATTGGTGAATTTAAAATTTGGTGAAATGTAGGAGTGCTGGGTTTTGAGGAACCCCCAGCTAGCTGTTTAATCGCTAGTTAAGATATGGATTTCTGCATCAAGAAAATCTGAGAACATTGGACTAAGTGATCTGTCCAGGCCATCCGTGACCTGAACAGAGTATTTCTGTAATTAAGGCTTAAGAGCTCACGAGTTCTTTTTCAGCATTGATGTCACACTGTTGACCCACACTAAACTTGCAGATAATTTCAGACCCTGTATCATTGGCCTCCCCTTTTACTTGGTTATCTCCCTTCTATACTTGTGCATTCCTTTTAATTTTTTAGGCTAACCACAGGATACTTAAGCAAATTCAACTCACCTCACTTTGAGCATTATTTTTGTTGTTTTGAGTACTCGATGTAAAAATCTTTTTAAATTAGCTTGTCTGTAATATTGTACTCCAGTTGTGTTTTACAAAATTTAACTTTTTCCTTTTAACAATTCAAAATGCTCATTAAATATATTAACTCTTCCCATGCCTGTCATATGGCCACTCCCTTTGTATTATTTGTAGTGCTATTTGGTTATATCCTAAATGGCCCCAGGCTGCTGTGCTTGATGGACTTGTGTGCCATTTTCAGAGTAAGACGCCTGTGCCTGGAGACCTTGTGGGTCTTCCCATGTGCCACGTCTGAGATTTCTTTAGTGTATTAACTTTATGGGATCATCTTTAGTGTCTTGGTGGTGTTCGTTTGCTGTATTCTCCTCAATACAAATAAGAGCTGTGGAGCTGTGACTCCATGTCTTGATCTGGGAAGGTGATGTCAACCACAGTGCTTAGGCAAAGGTTGCCATTAGACTGATTCAAAGTCAACTCCACTCTTTTCCAGATTGTTTTCTCTTACCTATGTGCATTCTCAAAAATGCCATACATAAAATAGCATTAATATAACATCAAGTCCAACTTCTGCCTTTTTTCATTTTTTTCTACTTGTCACTTCCCATTTTTCTCCTTTCTATCCAGTAGTCCTGACCTTTTCCCTTAGAATCCATTCTACTTTGGTCCCCTGCTCTTCCCATGGCTCTCTTTGGGTCACTTTAACACTGTGTGCCTCACAGACACAGCTAGAGCGTTCTCAGCTCCTTCCTCCAGGATCCTCTCTTAGATTCTACCACCCACATGGCCACACCTCCTTTTACCTTAACAAGCGGTCCAGGAAGCCGTGGCTGACCTAGCACAGTCCTCGGCAACGTTATAGAAAATTATGTTCTCAGTGGTTTGCAGGCATTGGCTTCAAGGCGTGTCTGACATCAAAATCCATTCCAACATAGCACAGGTCATGATTTGTTCGGAGGTCTGCTTCATCTCAGCCCAAAAGCATCTGCCTAATTTGCCAATACAATCAATATCAAAACTGCATTTCAGTGCAAAGCATAATAATCCTGATAGGCTGGTGGTCTGTGATCCTGTTGGACACACAGGTTGATGCATGTCTAGCCACAGTAAAATGGTCGTCATGGTGGTGTTGGGGAGAGGTCCAGCAAAACCAAATTTCAGTGTTTGTCTGACTGGATTTCACGTTTTTTCCTAGGTAAACATGGTGTTCTTAGTTGTAACATCATACTGTATTTTTCTTTTGGTCAAGATTCCATTTTATGTTTAATGTATTTTTGTACCTCTTATCCCAGCATTTCATGCCAATAGCACATTTTGATACTGAATGTATGTGCTTCCTTAGTTTTCATGTTGTTCCAAGAGAAATACCACAAGGATTTTCTTTTCTTCTGTTTCTCATAATGACTAGGGCAGTGGCTGCCCGATTGGGATATTCAAACCCTCCAGGTCTAGACAAGCTCAGATTTGGACCTGCTCGGGTAGCAGCTTCTAGCTTGTTAGGTAGAAGAAAGTAATAGAGGTTCATTTTTAATTGGTACTGGGGCTTTCAGTGTGATTAGAATTAGCCAGGAAATCTTTCACTTGTTTCACATCCCAGCCATTTTTCTCCTACTCAGAAAAACAATAGCAATTATTGAAAGTCTAATATCAAGAAAAACTTGCAACCACTATTTAAGCTGATATTTTCCCAGGCTCATTTGTACAAAATTACTCTTTGCTTTATGAAGGGGGGTGTGTGTGTGTGTGTGTGTGAGTGTGTATACCTGTGTGCATGTATGTGTACATATTTTATTTCCTATGAAGCCTACTACACAGTATTACATAAAGGCCGTGATGTGATTGTGATTTATCTGTGAGGTTAAAATGTAATGCTGAATCCTGTATAAAAATATTTATTTACCTATTAAGGCAAATTTATCCTAAATAAATAAATAAAAACTATCCAAATACTGTTTATGCTACATGTTATAGTACACAAAATTACCATTCTGAGCTTAAAATATTCTTACCTTTAAAAAAGAAACTCCAGGGGCCAGCCCTGTGGCGTAGTGGTTAAGTTCGCACCCTCCGCTTTGGCAGCCAGGGGTTTCGCTGGTTCGGATCCTGGACATGGACCTACACACTGTTCATCAGGCTACGCTGTGGTGGCATCCCACGTAGAAGAACTAGAATGACTTGCAGCTAGGATATACAACTACGTACTGGGGCTTTGGGGAAAAAAAAAAGGGGAAGATTGGCAACAGATGTTAGCTCAGAGCTAATCTTCATCAAACACACACACAAAAAGAAACTCAATACAAGTTATGTCTTTTAAAATATCTCATAGTTCAGCATTTATCAGGCTTTTAAAAAGTCTTCCCATGAATAATGACAGTTATGGATAACAACTGATGGGGGGAAAAAACCATGAATTTACCATGATACCAATAAATATAGAAGGAAAAGAAGAGTTATGAAATCACTGTTTTGAAAACTTCATCATAAAAATTGATTGGGGCAAGAATGATCAGTGATGCTAAAACCATTGAGTGGAAATATATTGGGGAGCAGGATATTGACGTAGTCTCAAGCTATCTCCTCATTACTCATTAATAACAAAAGAAAAAATCCAGTGAAGAAATCTGGTGAACCCCACCCTAATGGAGTGGTCACAGTTATCTCCAATTATGAAACACACTGACCCTGAGGGCCCCTGTGATACACCGAGAAGGAAACAATTTTTGTAGTTTTTCTGCCCAAAAATGCGTGATCTAAATCTAAGCCTGAAGAGACTATCAGACAAATCCTAATTGAGGGTTTGGATTGGCATGGTTTCTTCTAAAATGTCAGTATCATGAAAGACAAAGGCTCAGAATTGTTTTGGATTAAAAGAGGACAACTAAAGACACAGGGCAACTAGATCCAGAATTGAATTCTGGATTGCCCAAGAAATTTTTCTATAAAGCATTCCTATGCAGAGAAGTAGGTCAGTGACAGTCCGCTAGAGGTCCACAGCAGGATGAGGAGCTGGTACCAGAATGTAAATCAGTTACATTACTATGCCCACCGTCTAGTTGAGTTGACATTTTTCCCTAGGAAGACACTGTTGATGAAAGAAGCTGAGGGTTGATTTGCCTTCTCAAGGAAAATCCTTATCTTATCTCAGGCTGGCGTCAGACTTTCTGTGAAGTACTTCAGTCTACAGACACACTTTGTGTAGCATTTCTGAAGGATAGGCTTAGGACAATTGGCTAAATTAGAATATGAAATGTATACTAGACAGTTGTTTTTATCAATGTTGTATTTCCTGAATAATAGTACCAAGGTTATTTAAGAGAATGTCCTCATTTTTAAGAGATACATACTAAAATATTTACACGTGACGAGTCATGATGTCTGCAACTAACTACCAAATGGTTTAGTAAAAATTTATAGCAGTGCGTGTGTGTGTGTGTGTAAAGACGGAGCATGTGTGTAAACAGGGCAGAATGTTAAAAAATAGTGAATCTAGAGGAAGAGTATACTATTCATGTGCTACTCTTGCAAGTTTTATATAGGTTTGAAATTATTTAAATAAAGTTTAGGAAAAAAGAATGAGAAGGGAGTGTTCTAGAGAGCAGCAGATGTCAGCCGTGTTGTTGGTAACCACAGCACCTGAATGCTTTGCTGAATGATCTTGGGAATCAGTCGAACCCATTGTTTTGAGTCCATTGTTTCGAGCAATCAGTTAACCCAGCTGTATACTTCTTATATGCCCCAAATTACTGCTTCAGAGGATGGTCATCATCTCTGGCCCTGTGGTTTTTCTCTGTCTCTGTGCTCTGACTCTGATCCTAGCTGCTTTTCTTGGGGAAAAATAAATAAATAAAACCATCTAATTTGTGCTTTCTGCTGAAAATCAGGTTTCCGAGCAGGAAATGGATGAAGTGATAGCACGCAGCACTTATCAGGAGAGCAAAGAGGCCAATTCCTCTCCTGGCTTAGGTACTGTAATTGTACATTTTCATTCACCATTCAGAAGAGTTTCTCATTACGTTCCCCCACGGGGCACTCCCCGCCTGCAATATTATTGAAGTCTGTGTAATTATCAGGTTTGGCAGAAGTAGCTGTCAGACAAAATGTGTGCTTTCTGTTAGCTGCTACTGTTGGTTTCTATAGTTATTTAATGCGCTTTCTTAAAGTTCTAGTCGTGCATGCTTCTTACACTACTTTATGGTAATTTGCAAAAATGAGTTAGCAGCATTTCATGTGTTTATGTACAATTCATCGGAAATGTTCTAGGTAAGAATGAAACGATACCAAAATATCAGTTGTTTGTTAGATACAGAGTGTTATCCACCCAAAAACTGGGGATTTCTTGACATGAGTTAAAAGTTTTAACTTAAGAAGGGTAATCAAGGCTGCAAAAATCATGATTTCTCCCTTCTTAAGCAGAAAAGCTCAGGCAGAGAAGGATTGAAATAGTAAAGAATTTCGTATGAATTTAAAATATGAAATACTGTATCAAGTTTTAAAAGCAATGTTTCCTGTAGGATGGAAACCTAAATAAAGGACTCTGCAAACATGTCGGAACTTGAGACGTGACTGATGTTAAGACTGATGTTGAGAGGAAAAGGAACTGAGACATGAGTTACTGGTTGTCAGAGGAAAAGGAAGGCCTAGGATTTTTTGGCAACCATGAAATACCCTGATTATCTGCATCCATAATTAATATATTTAAAGTAGGCACGGCTAGAATGGGCTCTTTATTCAACCAGCTCAGTCTCCAGACCTGCCTGAAAGCTGTCCTCTCATAATTCCAAGATATCTGCTGGATCATTTATAGAAGATTTTATTAAGCCATTATCCTCATGCCGAAGACCTTTTTGCTCATGACATATAATTTAAAGTCTCAATGTCGAGTCTTTTCATCCTTCAAATAAAAACTAAAATAGATAGTCAACCCTCTCCCCAGTTCTTTCATGAGTTTCTTGGGTGGTGCACCTTTGTTCATTCATCCTTCAGTCCATTCAACAAATCCCACTGAACACTTCCTAGATCCAGGTACAGTGCTGAGCACTGTGGGGTCAGATCAGTGAAGGTCTCAGCCCTGTGGAGAGTTAAATAGTTGAGGAAGGGAGATAAGATGCATCCGCTTATAATTAAGTTATGCCATGTGTATGGACGTTGGCGTGTGGGTAGTATAAAATACTTTTGAAATTCAGAAGAAGTTACTTCCAACTGGGATCATCATGGAGGTGGTCACCTCTGAGTTAGGGCTTGAAGCGTGAACAGGATCTTGGGCAGTGGGATGGGTTGGGGTAGACTGCATGTCCGTCTATACCTATGGTAGATATCCATCACTACCAGTCAAGCAAAGAGGGTTTTGTTTCATATGTTCGGCTCCTTCTTTTCTAGTTAAGGATGGGAGCCTATTTGTAAGGACCATTGTTTTGACAATATGGTAAATTTTTTCCCCAACAGGTACCCCCTTGAAGAGTCCCTCTCTAGCAAAAAAGGTGAGTTAAGGCACACTGCTGCCTCGTTCAGCTGGCCTAGGAACCAGTTCCTGGAGCCCATAAGTCAAACCTGAGGACCCAGCCCATATTTCTGTCATTTTTGGTCATTTTACACAAAAACAGCAACAGTGCTAATTTGAGAACAAATATACACGTGTGTTTCTTTTATTAAATATTTATCCAGGAAAAGAATTGAGCAATAAAATAAGAGAACTGAGCTATAGTTTGAAAAGTAGTTTTTAAAATGCTCCATAGAAAAGGGGGCCCTGCTCAGTTCTGGGGGGACCTGTGACTTTAAGGAGACTGTGGAATCGTTCTCAGCTGGCTGTTCCTAAGCCCAGTGGATCAGAGAGCAGGATTCGAACTCCCCGGTTGTTTGTTTCATCAACAGGCTGAACCAGTGGCATGGAATTTCATTCTGTTTTCCTATCTCTTCCCGACTGTTTTTCCTGGGATGGTTCATATATTGCTGCTGGGGCTTTTCTGATCATTGCCAAACACTTGGCCTAAAAAATAGTTCTTAAAAACATTGTCTGGCAGCCACTGTTGCCTTTTTATTCATTAATTGTTTAATTTAGCCATCCTAAAGTAAATGGAAGTGGGCGTTTACTATCACAGCTGTTTCAAATGACCATGGATTAGAACAATGTGTTCTTGGAAAGATAGGCAGTAATGACTGTTTAAAATAATCTGCTTCTGGTGTTCCTTCTTCTTCATCCAACACTGTCTTCAACAGGACTCCCTGATTTCTGAATCTGAACTCTCCCAGTACTTTGCCCAAGATGTCCCAGGCCCCTTGTCAGACTTTGTGGTGGCCGGCTCCGAAGACGAGGATCACCCGGGAAGCGTCTGCAGCACCTCCAGTAAGCCATGACTGTTTTCCAGCTCTGGCCATCATGGTGTGAGAAGAGAACTGGAAACCATGCGTCTGGCTGGGTGGAAGCCGTCTTTCTACCCTGACCAAATTCAGAATTTATCCATGGAAAATGCAGCCCACTGTTAATGAGTGGCCACTTGCTTATTGGGCTGGACACACATTCTAACCCAGAGTGTTGCAGGTGGCTAAACCGGGCCCTCTTTACATGTTGTTTACATAGTGTAGTCTTGAAATTTATGGCATCAAATCAGGGTTGGCAACCTGATGGCCTTATGTTTTAGGGGAATTCCAGCCAAATTCCAGGTCTCTTCCTCATGAGGCCCTAACTTAATTATTTTTAGAAGGCAGTGCATGAGACCTTCAGAACTCATAACATGAACATGACAGATGTTGTCAGTTTTTTTTAAAAAATCTCATTGATTATCTTCTCAATATAATATGAGATAATGATCTGATGTGGACCATGCTGGTTTCTCAGACTTCTTGCTGGTGTGGTTTCCTTGTTCTCATTTCTAATGTCTGAAGAAGAAAATGCCCCTGTCTTGGGAGAGGCAGGCGATGGCCACTCCAGCTCTCCTTTGGAACAGTTGACGAGCTCACTCCAGTCTCTGGGAGGAACATGCCAAGGTGGAAGGGGTGTAATTTCTCGTACGTTTAGCAAGACGTGGAGAGTTCGCAGAGCAGCCGGTGCTTCCTTCCCTTCCCTGGTTGGAATGTGGATAGATTGTAACCTCAGGCTTCACTGCGCCAGGCTCTAGGAGCTTGTGTGCCCATTAATCACGCAGATGAAGGAAGGACCTCAGGTAATAAGAAGGCCCAGGTGTGCAGGACTGGCTGGTCCCTGGGCATCCTCCTAGATAGGAATTCTCTGCAGCATCCAATGTGTCAGACATCATGGATGTTGCTGACTTGTACATTTCTATCTCTAGGCAGCACATGTTTTAAGTTAAACAATCCAGAGGTTGAGGTAAATAAATAAATAAAAAGGGAAGCCAGTAGGAGGAGGAGAGAGGGAAGCCTGCTGTGTACTCGGTGCAGATCCCAAGAAGCCATATCATTTCAGCCTGGTCACCAGTGGGCAGTGGGTGTGTATCTGGTAGTTGTGAATGTGGAAACACTCGTATGTAATAAGGGAGGTTAAATTATAAGACCAGGCCAGATGGGAAACCATTTCATTTGACTTTTCTTTCCCCTTTCCTCCTAGCTCACAAGGAACCAGGAAAAGCCAGGGCCAACAGCCTTGTGTCTCTAGGGAGTCAGCGAGTCTCTGGGCTCTTCCACAAGCAGGTGGCAGTTGCCAGACAAGCCAGTCTCCCTGGGAGCCCACAGGTCCTCCGAAACCCTCTCTTCCGCCAGAGGAGGGTGGGCTGTGATGCCAACGATGCCAGTGATGAGGAAGAGTTGGACAGTGAAGGGGACTGCATCTCCCTCCCAGGGACCCTCCCAGGTCCCAGCAGGCCTCTGACAGAGGGCGACTCTAGGCATGTCTTGACGACCTCTTCCAAGGTCACGGCTATCAACAATCAGGAGGAACGTCCCCAGAAAACACTGGTCAGCAAAGCCTTCTCAGCACCTCTCCTTGGCAGCTCGATGGACTTAGAGGAGAGTGTCTCAGGGGGAATGGTGGACACTCCTTCCCATGCAGCCAACCTGCTGGCCTCTGCAGAGGCCCCCAAGGGTGGCCCTGGCTGCTTGGGGAGGAAAGAACTGTCAGGATCAAGGAGTTCACCCAAACTGGAATACAAAGCCGGCACAGGGGCCCAGAGTCTGGTGAGCGCAGAGAGACCCAGTTCCCCCCAGCAGAAGAATGACAACCTGGAGTCCAGGCACAAACCAGTGGCCAGGGTCAGCCCACACCGCAAGAGGCCAGAGGCTGAGGCCAGGCCAAGTGGCTCAGAGACAGTAAACCTGACCGACGGAGCCAGTGACCCATGTGATCAGGACTTGGAAGTCCAGGCCGCTTCTGTCAACGTGACCGTGCCTGGTTTGGGGCCAGGTGGAACTGCGGAGAGGGTAACTGATTTTCTCTTAGTTACTTGGGATCTAAGTGAATGTTGTATGAATGAACATGGAGAGTGTTACAAAGCATAGGGTAATCTCCCAGAAAGGAAGGGTAATGCCTGGAGAATTATCTTTCAACAGAATCATTCATTTCAATACGTGACTGCTTGGGAGCCTGTTAACATATCAGCAGGTTACTAGGGGGAAAGTGCACGGGTATTGAGTCAGAGATCACTCGGCCAAAAGATACAATCGCTCTCTTACCTGTAGCAGAGGCTGTGGTGGGTGACGGAAGGGCAGTGAGAGGCAGGGAAGGAAAACGCTGGGTCTGACATCGGCTTCTCCACTGACTAGCTGAATGACCACTTGGACAAGTTATTGAACCTTTTTGAGTGGCAGTTGTCTGCCTGTAAAAGAGGGATGGTGCTGTCTGCCTTGATCATCCCACAGAGTTGGGCTGACCATCGACTATAGGTTAACAGGGATTCTCTCTGGCTGGTAGGGTTCTGAGTGATCCTTGTGTTTTCAAACTTTCTATAATAATTATGTGTAATTAAAGCTATCATACCCTTGTTGTGAGTATCACATGAAATAATGGGGCTGCATTCACTTAGAAACTTGTAATGCAGCACATTAAAGGCAGGTTAATATTATTTATGTTACTACCAGGTTACACGTATGTTAGAATGGCTCAGAATTATCAGATTGCTCAGTTTTTAAAATTTCAACATATCTCCACTTTAGCAAGGAGACAGCAAGAGAAACTAATGTTGTTTATGATCTCCTGAACATGAATAATTTCTCACTGAGCAAAGAATCTGAGATGACTCGGAAGGACCATATTTATAAAGATGTGTGTTCAAGTAGTTTATATAAACATATGTGTAAATAGACCCAAAAAATATAAGGTCATAAAAACACTATACTAGGCAGAAAAGGTTTTTGTTAACCTTATAGAAAAAGTAGAAACACACATCTTTTTTTTCTCCTAAGAAATTACTACCTCCAACTAGCACATGTGTTTTAAAATGTAACGTTCAGTTAATGGGTAAACCCCTTCTTTCAAAAAGTATCAAGTTTTGGATAACTACATAAAGCCAAATCAGAGTTTTTGTTAATTATAACATATCTATTAAAATAAGAGCCTTTGTAATTGTGAATTAGTATTCCTAATAAGAACTTTGAGCAGCATTTAAAACTTTTGCCCCGAAGTTTAATTTTTCTCATAAAAATTTTAGTACCAAAATTTGATTTATCCTTGAGAAAGAAAATACAATGCATTGTCATAAAGTATTTACCGTCAAATATTGGAAGCTTAAAAAAAACTACTTTCTCTTTTAGTAAGTGGATTGTCTTCTACTGTTTTTAATACTTTTTAAAATTGAAATGAAATTCACAGAACATAAAATTAAACCTTTTAAAGTGTACAGTTCAGTGGCACATGGTGCATTCACAATGCTGTACAACCACCACCTCTGTCTCGTTCCAGACTCTTCTACTGTTTTTATGTTACATTTATGCCTTACTAGTAAATATAAAATTAAGTGAGCTAAACCCTGTGTAGATTTCCCTCTGCCAATAATTGGCATTTTACTAAATGATTTTTTTTTTTTTTACAAGAGTAGCTGAAAGACACTCTATCCATTTCACCTCTTTCCTCTGCTGCCACCTGTGGGCCACTTTATGAATCCTTGGCTCAGAGGGTAAATTTCAAATAAATCTCATTTAACTTTCAGTAAGTTTGTTTGGAAAATTTTTTACAGTAGGTATTAGAAGAAAGGAAGATAAAGTAATTGACACTTGGCTGAAGTGAACTTTTGAAATATCAAATGTCAATTTCACTTATCCAGATGAGTCCTCTCCCTAACTACCAAAATGACGAGCTGATTTTACAGTCTTGGATATCACTGTGCAACGTGGTAACAATAATATCTGACATCAGATAGCCTTTTGTATGCTGCATGTTGTTTTTATAACTGTTATCTAATTTAATCATCTTTTATTTAAATCTCTCTGAGTTGGACAGAGCAAGTCTTATCATCCCCGTTTTTTTCCAGATTTTTTATCATGGTGAAATACACGTAACAAAGTTTTTCATCTTACCCATTTTTAAGTGTGCAGTTCAGAGGCATTAATACATTCATAATGTTGTGCAACTGTCACCACCATTCATCTCTAGAACTCCTTTTTCTCCCCAGAGCCCCCCGGTACATAGTTGTATATTCTTCGTTGTGGGTCCTTCTAGTTGTGGCATGTGGGACGCTGCCTCAGCATGGGTTGATGAGCAGTGCCATGTCCGCACCCAGGATTCGAACCAACGAAACTCTGGGCCGCCTGCAGCGGAGCGCGCGAACTTAACCACTTGGCCACGGGGCCAGCCCCTCCAGAACTCTTTTTATCTTGTAAAACAGAAACTCTATACCCACCAAACATTAACTCCCCATTCTCCCTTCCCCCAGCCCCTGGAAACCACCATTTTACTTTCTGTCTCTATGAATTTGACTACTCTAGGTACCTTACATTAGTGGAATCATACAATATTTGTCACCGACTTATTTCACTTAGCATAATGTCCTCAGAGCTCATCGGTGTTGTAGCATGTGTCAGAATTTCCTTTTTTTTTAAGGTTGAATAATATTCCATCATATGTACATACCCCATTTTGCTTATCCATTCATCTCTCAGTGAACACTTAAGTTGCTTGCACGTTGTGGGTCCTTCTAGTTGTGGCATGTGGGACGCCGCCTCAGCATGGGTTGATGAGCAGTGCCATGTCCGCACCCAGGATTCGAACCAACGAAACTAGCTATTATGAAAAATGCTGCTATGAACATGAGTGTACACATATCTCTTTAAGACTCTGCTTTCAGTTCTTTTGGGCATATACCCAGAAGAGGGATTGCTGGATCATATGGTAGTTCCTTTTTTTTGAGGAACCTCTATACTGTTTTCCATAGTGGCTGCACTCTTTTACATTCCCACCAACAGTGCACAAGGTTCCAGTTTCTTCACCTCCTCACCAACACGTGTTATTTCTGTTTTTTGATTGTAGTGATCCTAACGGACGTGAGGTGCTATTGTGGTTTTGATTTGCATTTCCCTTATTGCCCACATTTTAAAGTTGAGAAAACCGAGGCTTAGGAAGAGTGACAAGACCATGCAATTTCTAGTGGACCTTAAACCCGGAATCTGGTTCTTGTGGCTCCTGGTCCAGGGCTCCTTGAATTTTCCCAAGCCAGCTCTTCTCTATATATGAGGTCTTAGGACGCAGAAAACTTGAGAGCTATTGACAGTGACTTGCAGTTGTCATTGTGCCAGGAATCTCTGGGAAAACTGACCATTGAGGATGGCCGTGTCCCTACCAACTGGGGGCCAACCAGTGCTCTGCCCCACCCAGATACTGGCCACCTCACAGAGAACCCGCCCGAAGCTGCACCAGAGTGGAGGCAACAACCCAGAATGGGTAAGATTATTCTGTCACTTGTTAAGCTTCAAAATGGGAGGATAGAAGTTACCCTAATAAAAGCGTTACATGTGGAGAATTTTGAGAGAGAAAAAACTCTTACACAGATTAATGATATTTAAAAGCTGCCTACATTTAACGACTTTCCTAGATCATTGTGCCCAACAACACACTTAATTCCAAGTAGAGTGCGTCCAGTTTCAGTCAGGCACTCTACCCATTCTGTGACATGTACCTTAGTGAATGAGACATGAGATGAATCAGAAGGATTTCCCGCCCTGCAGAATCTCAACTCGCTGCTTATGTGAAATGGAATGCACTGAGAAACGGCAGGAAGAACTTCACAAACGACAAGAAAAACATTAATATTTTCTACCTCATGCATCCACAGAAAGTAATATATGAGCAGCCTTCTGAGTCAACAGAAGGCTCCTAGGGCTGCCTGACTGCCACTTGCCCTGGCAAGCCTCTCTAAGCACGAATGATTCAAGTATCAGCACACCTGTAGCCTACTCTAGTTAGGGACCTGCACCAACGTCCTCTGCGTCCTTCTGCACCTACGACATCGTGTGTAAAGGCAGCTGGGCCTTTGACCTGATGAGGTGCCATAGCTGAGTCAACATTCTTCCCCATATTGGGCACTTAGGGCGTTTCCAGTTGAAGGACTGCCTCCATGTAATTTAATCTCCCTCAAACAAAACCCTTTTAAGTTATACACTTTGCAAGAAAGTCAGATTGCTAACGGAAATTGAGGGCTTGTTCAGTGAATGAATCTGAACCTGAAAAACTGCCTTTGAATCCCCTCCTTTTGTCTCATGGCTATTTGTCCCCATAGTTGGCACCAGCAGGAGCAGGAAAGTCATGCTGAAGGGAGGTCACAAAGGTTGAGCAGAGGATGGGAGCCCGTGGATTTGAATCTTGTTGTGCCCCCAGCCTTCCCAGGGACATGGGGAAGTTATGTTCAGTCTCCAGAGGTGTCTTGATGAGCCAACCTTGTTACCAGGGCTTTCTACCCAGAGGCCACGTAGTCAGGGTTCAGGAAATGGTGTGGGCCATGGAGCCAGCTTCCTGGGGCGACCCCTGGCTGTGAACTCTGTGACCTTGGATACATTGCTTAACCACTCTGTGCCTCAGTTCCCTACTGTTCCAACTGCAGATGGTCACAGACCTACCTGACACTGTTGGGAGGAAAATTAAGTGCATGAAAAACTCTTAGCACATTGCTAAATCCTAATGAGTTCCTAATTATTGATGTAGGAACTTCAGGATGGAAAAGGCATATGCAATTAAGATGATTTGTATGGCAGATATGGAGTGGATATAATGTCTGGGGTAGACACTTCTCAAACCAAGAGCTTTCATTGTGACTGAGTTTTTCACTCAACCTCAGGTGCATAGTTCTTGAGAAAATAGCAAATCAAATGTTCTTTTTTATGCCACTCCTCCTTAACCCCCTTTGCAAGACGTTGTGTGCCAGAGGTAGACAGATTAGCCCAAGAATATGCAGGGCCTTATGAGGAGGTGTCTCCAGGACAGAGTGGCTCTCCAGAACCATCTCATGGAATGACTTGGTTTTCCACTGTCCCTGGCGTGCTTCAGCTTTCCCTGCGCCTCTGAGATTCCATGTTCTTTCTTGCTTCTCTGCTTTCATTCCATTTTCTTCCTCCCCTTTCTCCTCCTCACTCTCTGGTCAAACTATCCCTCCAGAACCCCACTCAAGTCCCCACCCCTCTGTAAGCTTCCTTGGATGATGTGGCCTTCTGCTTCTCCCAACTTCTCTGAACTTGGTCAAGACACAGCTAACACTCAATGTAGACTCGCATGCTGTCTGTAACATTCCATGTGTTTTCCCAAATTAGCCTCATCTCCTGGGCTAACCAGTAGGTCCCTTAAGTTCGCCACTTGGACTGTTTTATACTTTACTACATGGCTCACAACCCACAGCCTGTGGCCAAACCCACGATGAGAGCTAAGCCCACATGCGATCAGCCAGATGCTCTGCAGAATCAACGGGAAGCTAAGAATCCAGTAGAACAATATCCTGACTCCTGCAGCTTTTGCCATCAGAGAATGCATGGTGTAAAGAAACTCAAGCAAAGGATTTCTGGTGTCCCCCATCCTTAAAAATAACCAAGAGAGAGAAAAAAGGGCAGAAACAAAGGTTCATTCTGCCAGCCAGTCTGGGTTATTTTAGAGCGTCTAAAGCAGGGTAGTATTTGCTGGATGTGAGTGCTCTGTAATTTTAAAGACAAGAAGGCCTACATTTAGGCTGTGGAATGTCTTTCTGAAAAAAGACCAAAAAAATGAGATTGTTTACAATTTTCCATCATTTTTAAATTCAGAGGTTTTGTGTTTTCTCACATTTCCCCCTTTATCTCCCTACCACTCCACCTGTTGTTTACCTTCTCAACACAGGCCTGGACGGCTCCCCAGACCTCGTCCCTTCCCTAGAGCAGAAGGGGGCCGCTCCTCCTGACCCAAGCAAGGCCTGCGTGGACGCAGGGCAAGTCAGGCAGTGTGAGGACCCCAAAGAGCCAGTGTCACCCAGGGTCCCCAAGGCTGAGGACGTACCTCGAGTCAGACCTGCCTGTGAGCGCAGCACATCCCCAGGGAAGATGCCAACGGCTCGTCCTGACTTCAGCAAGACCCGAGCAGCCCCAGAAGCCAGCTCACCCGACACCAGCAGGAAGGTGGCTGCCTACACGGAAGGGGGACCTGAGACAGAGGGAGCATCTTCAGCCAGTGCCATCCTGTCACGAGACCTCCTCACGTCCCAGGAGGAGAGACAAGAGGTTCCAGGTAACCACAGCAAGGCCCTGCAAACGACAGGAACCCTCAGCCCAGAAAATGCCCGGGAGTTTGCTCTGCTCAAGGGAACAGACTCTGTGTCTGAGGGGGCCCCGCAGGCCAGCCCTGCCCGGCCATCACCCACTCACAAGGCCCAGGAGGGGTGTGACAAGGAGCTGGGACACAGCTGCCCCAGGGAGAATGGAGGGAGCCCTGTGACTGACATCGACAGACTCATCAAGGAGTTGGATGCTTCTGAAGCAAGACTTCAGTCTCCCCAGAAAGGGGACCAGCCGAGTCCAGAGGGCAGTTCTCAGGGTCAACCTGCAGCAGGAGCTGGAGGCGGAGGGTCCCGCCAGGCCGAGCCAGGCATGGGGAACCAGACCCCCACCCTGAGGAGGGCCTGGGCTGCGGGGCAACCCCCTCACCCACAGTGGGCCTCCCAGCCTTCAGTTTTGGATTCTATTAATCCTGACAAACATTTTACTGTGAACAAAAACTTTCTGAGCAGCTACTCTAGAAATTTTAGCAGTTTTCACGAAGACAGTCTGTCCCTGTCGGGCCTCGGCGACAGCACAGAGCCATCTCTCTCGTCCATGTATGGCGATGCTGAGGACTCATCTTCTGACCCCGACTCGCTCAGTGAAGCCCCACGAGCGTCCACCAGGGACAACTGGTCACCTCCTCGTCCTCATGGGTCTTCTCACAAGGAAGATACTATGGAGTCAGAGGAGGAGCAAATTGAAATTTGTTCCACAAATGGGTCCCCCAATCCACCCTCAACTGCGGCTCCTGTGCCCGCCCAGGCTGCACCCTGCCCCGCGGTCGCCAAAGTTCTGCCATTACAGCACAGTGCTCTGAGCGAAGCCGTGGGACATCCCCGTGAGAGAGCTTCCTTCGTGCCAGGAGCCGCATGCCCTTCAATCCCAAACTCTTCCCAGCCCTTGTCTCTCTTGGATAGAAGCTCTCACGCAGACACAAGGATCTCACAGAACCACAGGCCCTCGTGTGAAGAAGAAACTGTGGAAGCCCCCAGTGCTAGCTCAGCTGTGGAGAACAGGCAGCCTTCTAAAGTTGCCAGGCGTTTTCATAACCCCCCAGTCACTCTCAGCCCTCCTAACATGGTAAATGGTTTGGGACATGACTTGCTGAATGACGAAACCCCAAAGAAAACACAAGAAACAAATGGCAATGCAACTGAAAATGAGTCCTCCTCTAGTGTGGATGTCCCTAAGGCTGGAGAGTCTGTTTTGGCAAACCTACACATCTCCGAAAGTCAAGACCTGGAAGACTCGCTCCAGAAACCAAAACTGACCTCCAGGAGGCCCATCATGGCCTGGTTTAAAGAAATAAATAAAAATAACCAAGGTACACATTCGCAGAGCAAAGCTGAAAAGGAGCCATCCATGGTGCCAGCCAGAAGTCCTGACTCCAAAAGTCCGGTGTTGAGCTCAAGCCACAAAAAGGGGGTTGCTGTGCCTAACAGCCCTTCGCAGCTGAAACTGAATCTTGAAAATAAAGACTCACCTAAGAAAAGTTCGGTGGAAACCCTTCTAAATAACTGTCAGAAACCCAAATCTGGTCCTAAGCTGAAGAGACTGAGCATCAAAAGCAAGAGCAAAGTCAGCGCCGAGGCCCCTGCTGCCAACACAGCTAAGGCTGCTGGGATGGACCACAGGAAATCCCTCATTTCACCCCAGACCTCCCACAAAATGCTTTCTAAGGTAGCGTCACACCAGTTCCACATAGCTGAGCAGGAGGGACCTGACAAAAATGCTGCAGCCATGGCCACGTCTCCCCAGTGTGTGCTGGAGAGCAAGCCGCCCCTGGCTGCCTCGGGGTCACTGAAGCCCTCAGTGTCAGACACAAGCATCAGAACATTCATTTCACCCCTGACCTCCCCCAGGACTCTTCCTGAGCAAGGTGCATGCAGTAGGTTCCACACCACTTTCTACTCAGAACCCGACAGAGGTTGCCCAGCCGCCCCCAGATCTCCGAAGTGTGGACCGGAAAGCAAGGCTCCCTCTGTGGCTTCGGGGGCAGGTCCCGCAGCATCCCGGGGCAGCACATCCACAGCAGTGAACAAGCGGGAGGTCCCACCTCCTGGGCAGAGTGAGCAGTGTGTGTCCAGCCAAAGAGATTCAGCACCAGAAGCAGGCCAACCCCAGGTGACTAGTGACCAAGAAAGCAAAACAATTGCTAGTGAGCCTTTAGAAAGAGCAAACCAATTGAAAATAGTTGAAATTTCTTCTGAAAGAATGCCAAAGATTGCATGTGGTGACAAGCCCAGTGAAAGTGACAGACAGGGAGGGTTCTTGGCCCAGAGCAACTGTCAGGAGAAGAGTGAAATTAGACTCTGTCACCAGTCAGTGGAATCGTCCCCAAATCGTCCCTCATCACTCACGCCTCGGGCCTCCCAGGTGGAGCAGGAAATGCAGCCATCTTTCAGCATGGTGAAACTGGCTGCTTCCTCCTCCTCCCCACAGCTGCCTCCTAGAAAGGCAGATGCCTCCCAGGGGAAGTCAAGCCAGATGTCAAACTCCCTAGGAATGGCCAAGAACGGCACAGCAGGGGGCCCGGCACTGGACGACCATCCCTACTTCATGCCAAGGCCAGCAACCAGAACCTACTCCATGCCAGCCCAGTTTGCAAGCCATTTTGGACGGGAGGGGCATTCCTTGCACAGCCCAAATCGCTCTCATTGGGACAGCCAGGTCCCTGTGACAAGCAGTGGCCTCCTTGAGGCCAAGGCATCCAGGGGTGGTGTTCTTGGCCTAGTTAATGGACAGGGTGTATATAGCGTAAAGCCGCTGCTGGAGACATCAAGGAACCTTCCACCATCAGAGGAAGGGGATGTCCTTTCAGGGCAGGAAACGAGCTGCCTAGTCACAGACAAAATCAAAGTCACCAGAAGACATTACTACTCTGAGCAGAACTGGCCCCATGAATCTACCTCATTTTTCTCTGTGAAGCAGAGGATCAAGTCTTTTGAGAACCTGGCCAATTCTGACCGGCCCGTGGCTAAGTCAGGGATGTCCCCCTTTTTGTCAGTGAGCTCCAAGCCTCCCGTTGGGAGACGGTCATCTGGCAGCGTGGTTTCCGGGAGCCTCAGCCACCCCAGTGACTCAACAGCAAGGTTGCTGAGACGCAGCCTGAGCTCCTGCAGCGAAAGCCAAAGTGAAGCCAGCACCCTCATCCCCCAGATGACCAAGTCCCCGTCCAGCATGACCTTGACGGTCTCCCGGCAGAATGCAGCAGAGGCCAGTAACAAGGGCCCTGACTCGGACCCAAAGAAATCACTTGGTTCTTCCGGAATTCCCACCCCAATGGGGGCCCCAGCCTCTCCCATCAAGAGGAACAAGTCCTCGGTGCGCCATACCCAGCCCTCGCCTCTATCCCGCTCGAAGCTCCAGGAACTGAGAGCCCTGAGCATGCCCGACCTTGACAAGCTCTGCAGCGAGGATTTCTCAGCAGGGCCGACTGCCATGCTTTTCAAAACTGAGCTGGAAATCGTCCCCAGGAGGTCGCTTGGCTCCCCTGCTGGAGGCCTCAGTGGGTCCACTGCCCTTTCATGCCCCATCAAGGGTGGGGACAAGGCCTGTCCAGGAGGAAGCAGGTCTAAAGCCAGTGAGCCACGGGTACCCAGTTCAGCCCCTGTGGATGAAACCACCCGGGATCTCCCTTCCGGAAAAAGCTGGTCAGTTAAGTAAGTATCTATCCCTCCCTCCCCCCTGGTATTTAAATAAATTTTTTTATTACTATGAACTAGTTTTAGATTTCTAAAAAAGTTGCAAAGAGAGTGCAGAGAATTCCCATGTACCCCTCACCCAGTTCCTCCCAAGTTAACATCTTACATAACCACCATCCGTTTGTCAAAAATAAGAAGTTAACACTGGAACAACACAATTAACCAAACTACGGACTTTATTCAGATTTCACTGAATAAATTCCACAATATCCTTTTCTATTCCAATATCCAATCCAGGACACCACATTCTTTTTGGCCCCTTTGTTTTTAATATCATCACTGGAAAAATAAAGTGCCTGCAGGGAGAAGTGTTTGCCAGAACGTTGCTCTGAAGAGCGGCTCCTGTAGGACACAGCACTTTAAGCAAAAACACCATGAGAGAGAGGTGGGAACACCAGAAGGCGGCCCCTCAGGGAAGGATCCAGGCCTTTGAAGGAGATCAGAGTTAAACAGGAAATTTCTGACATTTTAAAATGTTTCACTTGAGCCCATATATTGAATATATTTTAATCTCAGAAATTTTCTGTTAAAATTCCGACATTGGTCCCCTAATATCTTAGAGGGATCCCTGAATGCATAGTCATTCCCACTGAAAATACCTACAATGTAGTAGAAAGGAGATCATTTTAAATGCATCCTTATAAAGTGGAGGAATTGCTATTTTCTTTAATGTTCTTCCAATGTATTTATATTATTTAGTTTGGATCAACTCCTAGTCTCAGCGGGACACCAGCAAAGATTACAGTCTGTTCTGTCATCACTGAGGTCAAAGTCTACCATCCTAACTCTCATTCAGGAAGCGAAAGCACAATCAGAGGTGAGTGAACTAGAGAAAACACAGGAGGCTGAGACCGCTGCCACGTTAGTGCCAGGTGTGCCAGATGTGTGCCACGAGCCCAGAGAGCCAAGGAGAGCTCTCCCCCGGGGTCCCTCTTTGGGAGCTCTACAGGCCCGCCTGACTTTTGTCCCCCTTGTATCTTGCTTCAGAAGCTGGAGCTTGTCTTGAATTTCTAGGTGCTACATTGGTGCAGCTGCTGTCTTCATTCCCCAGTAGCAACTAGTTACCATCCTCCCCGCCCCCCGCATTTGGAGTGTGTCTGCAGGGGCTCCTCAAAACAGAACGAGGCATCTTGGAAACGTTGGGGAATGACCACAAGTACCTCTGTCCGCCTAAGTGGACATAAATTACCTGTGAAGGGAGCCACCTGCTGGGGGTAGGAGAGCTCACGACTGCAGCCCTGCCCTGGCCCCTGGTGTCAGAGCGTCTGATGTCTGGGGTTCCAGACAAAGAAGCTAATTAGTCATCGCAAATAAAGTCTCTCAGTAAGTTTGATGTGACAGGAAACGATAACAAAAGAAACCAGGAGTTCATATCTAGAATACTTCTCTGAAGAACAACATTAATTTCTGAGGACCATCCATAGAGACTTAAACCCTAATAAATGAATATTTTCTGTTTAGAGAAAAAGGCAAATAGGAACAGTTTTTCTTGAGTAGTAATATACCTGGGTCACTAATATCATCTAAGAACACTGTTCCAGAAGTTCTAATATTACCCAGAAGGGCTGTGATGTTGGCATCTAACAAGGAGTGAGCCAGGATAGAGTCGGGATGGAGACCGATTCCCTTTGGCTTCCACTCCCTTCTGAGTCTCAGCCCACTGGTTTGGGTCTGTGTAGTTAAACACCTTGAGATGTCCAGCATTTTTCATTTTCAGTCAAAAAGTTATTTCATCATCTCCCTTCCTCCTTCAGCTTGTTACAAGAAGTAAGCATTTCACGCATGAAAGTCTTACTCTGGATTTCCAGTCAAGGTGGCACGATGGGATCATGTTACGCCAGGGCCCCTTTGTTCTAGACATTTTACAGTGTTAAATAAAACGTAAAAGGAGAAAACCAAAAAGTCTCAACCAGCCTCGCAAACGAGATGCACATTTTCAGGGACCACAACTTGAAGACTTTTTGTGTGGACAGGATGCCGAACGCCACATAGGGGCATCTTCTGGGGCCTCGCTCACCCACCTCGCTCTGGTTTCCCACATTCACCACCAGACAGGTTCTGTCCTTTGATGGTGAAGATCATTCCTACTTTCTTCAGAACGCAGGCTTCTTTTCCCCTATTTTCTCACTGTCTTCAGTTGATTTCAGAGAGGAGCAGTGGGCAGAGATGTCCTTACTCTACCACCTTCAGAAGTTTCCTGCCTTGCTTTTTTCCTAATGAGTATGAGTTGTAGCTGCTGAATGTGGAACCACACAAAATGACGTCCCCTGGCTTTCTTTTAGGGCTGCTGTGAGAGGTCAGAGAGGGACAGAAAGCAAGCCCGGGTCTCCTGAATTCAATATGCCCAAACCTTGGGGAGCTCTTAGTGGTGGCTTGGGCTTCCCTGATGCTGTGCTAAGCTTGTCAGAGAGGCAAGATTTGGCCTGACAGTCAGCTTCTAGCACACTTGTATCTTCAAACACAATTGGAAAAAAAATAGTTTCAATACATTAAAATTTTGATGAAATGTCCTGGAATGCAGGAGAGTCCCATTTTCGAATATTTTGTCTCTTTGCTCCAATAAGGCATTCAAATATCTGAATATTCCTGTTTCAACATCAAATGTCACCTCCCAGAAGCTACACAAAGATCATTTGCTGGACCACACATTCCCGTTTTTGTTGAGAAAACCTAGTCATCATTCTTCTAACCACTGAATATGGTTAGACTTGCCCATGAAGTCAAAATCCCAACCCCCAAGAGTTCTGCAGGACCCTTGGTTTGAATGAACTTTAGAGAGGTGTAAAATGCTTGGGATTATTCTTTAGGACTTAGTATTAGAACACCTTTTTTTTGCCGGGACGGATTCACCTTGAGCTAACCTCTGTTGCCAGTCTTCCTCTTTTTCCTCCCCAGCCCCAGTACATAGTATATATTATAGTTGTTAGTTCTGTGTGAGCTGCTGCCACAGCATAGCTACTGACAGATGAGGGGTGTGGTTCTGCAACTGGGAACTGAACCTGGGTCGCGGAAGCAGAGCACACCAAACTTTAACCACTAGGCCATCAGGGCTGGCTCAGAAGTATACACTTTTTCTTTTAAATATTGGGTTCCTTCGCCAGCACAATACAGAGTTGGTTTTCTCTTTCAACATTTTCACTTTCTCTCATCAAAGCAATCCTTAGGGTTTATTATTAGATTCTTTTTCTCTTGCTGTGTTTGAGAACACCTTGAACTGCTGGATTATAAATCACTTCAAGGGAAGCTTAGCAATGCAGATCTTTGAAATGTTGCCGACTCATACTTAGGATGTGGGTGAATTCACGGAAGACAAAATCCTGAATAATTAACCCAGCTAATTTTTTATTTTAAAACCTTCTATTCCAAGGTATCTTTTGATTGATGCTTGAAAGATAGGACAGTCTTTTGTTACTTAACCCTAGGACACTACTAAGAATGTTCTAATCACAAGACAAGTTGACAGTTAGTTTTAATGTACTTTATATTTTTAAACATGCTTTGATGTTATGACTACCCATTTGTTAACTGCACCTGAAATCCAATGAATTGAACATGGGGGGAGAGGGACATAAAACATATGGCCTCACTGTGCTCTTGTCCTGCCTCTTGGCACTGACGCTACTCTCTCTGCTATTGTTGAAACTGGCTCTGCTGAATTTGCAGACTTAAAGAATTGTCGGATACAGAATTCCCTTTGTGATCAAATTATGTGCTATGATGAGATTTGGGAAGACACAATCTTGGTGCCTGGAATGGCTAGACTGGCTTCCAGATTGTCCCCTGTCCCTGCCTGTTTCGTGGCCACCTTCCCCATGGTTCTGTAGTTGCAGGATGGACCCTCAGCTCTGTATAGGCATCACCCAGTAGGGATGCAGGATGGTGGAGACGGGGCTCCTCCGAGTCCAGTCCTGTGTGAAAGCTCCTGAAGAGGCACTGGGGTTGGTGGTGACAAGCTCTGCCGTGCAACAGGAGGCTTTACATCAGAACTCCATTCCTCTTGGCCCAAGGAATATACTTTTTTCTGTTTCTTTTTACTAGAATAAAGAAGATGTTTGCTTCATAGTCTTGAATAAAAAAGAAGGCTCAGGTCTGGGATTCAGTGTGGCAGGAGGAACAGATGCGGAGCCAAAACCAATTGTGGTAAGTGATGATGTCAGGAAGCTCTCAGGAAAGTCAGTGCTGAAGCAGCCTCGGTGTTTGATCAGAACAAAATTCATGACAGTGAGTTCAAACACTGCTGGCGTTTGTTCCCTGCTACCAAAACAAAAATGGAAAAGTGAATACGTACTATTTGCATTGACAAAGACGGGCATTTTAACACATAGCTGATTGAGGTACAGGCTGAGTGACCTGTTAGATGCCAACATAAATAAATGCAAATGGTCCGTATCCTCTTATTCACCTAAATATTTAAGAAGTGGAAAAACATGAGAATTCAAACCTGCATTTACTGGTGAAATTACTTATCAAGAACCACCACCTAAAATTTTATATCACTCAGAGGCCTTTGAGATTAGGGAGCCACCTTCCTTGGACAAGACCAGGTCCTGTGCATCTTTGTGTTCTTGTTGCCCCGTGGTGCACCAGGCACGTCAGACGCTAGCAGTAAGTGGAGTAAAATATGTTGAGATGCTGGCACTGACATTTGTAATTCCATTCCTCACACTGAATGTTTTTGATAAGCCAAGTGTTTGTATGATTTGGAAAACTTGCTATTAGAAAGTTCCTTTACTACAGATTTGCAGCTACCCTTTACTACAGGTCATAAATGAATTGGTTTATGTCCTCTCCTTATCTCAGGTCCACAGGGTGTTTTCTCAGGGGGCTGCTTCTCAGGAAGGGACTATGAACCGAGGGGATTTCCTTCTGTCAATCAATGGCACCTCACTGGCTGGCTTAGCCCATGGGGACGTCCTGAAAGTTCTGCACCAGACACAGCTACACAAAGATGTCCTCGTGGTCATCAAGAAAGGGACTGACCAGCCCAGGCCCTCCACCAGGCAGGAGCCTCCCACGGCCAATGGGAAGGGCTTGCTGTCCAGGAAGACCATCCTCCTGGAACCTGGAATGGGTAAGATGTCAGTTCACCAACCAGCAGGGTGTGAGCAGCTAGGAGAGTAGATTCTGGCTGAACATGAAGGAAAATAATCACTACCATTTGGATCAGAGAAATTAAATGTAGTGAAGTCTAGTGTTTGTGGATGCTTCTTGGAAAAGCAGTGTTACAAATAAGTTATTAAAAAAAAACAAAACCCGGTAGTTAAAGCCACACTGTTGAAGATTTAAAATGACTTCTTGACGGCTTCTCTAAATGTGCTGAGGAGGAAACCCTTTTCAGATTTACATCCTCTTGTTAAGACTTAAGTGGCTGGTAAGTAAAACAAGAAACTGTTGTGATGGGGGAATCGATGTTGAAAGACAAATTCCAGAACTGAGTTTTGTCCTTGGGAAACATCAGGGTTTGTATGCTTTCCTGTTTTAGAAGAACATAAGGAAATGAGGGGGCAAAAATGTTTAAAACAGAGACTGCAGCCTTAGTTAACAAGAAGAGATTACAAAGAGAGGTTCAGAAACGCATTCTCTATGTGCCCTCCATACTGTCATACTAGGGCTCCACAGAAAGCCATACTAAGTACTTAAGTCCTGCTTCTATTTCTGAAGCATAGGCTGATTACTGCCCTCAGATAACTATTTCAGACTCCTGTAGTGTCCTCTCCCTTGGAGTTCAGGAGTGACATCTCCTTAGTCTGGAGGGCAAAGTAGAGTCTACAGATCAGGTCAAGGCACTGCCTTCTGGGGTGGGGACTTTTGTTTCTTCTCAGCATCTCTCCCTGATAAAGTCATGGGTAACTGAATTTCCCTCTGCTCAATGTGGCTTCATCATGGCTTGAGCTATCGGTAATGACTTTGCTGAAAATGGCACTGATTGCGTTGAAGAAATGAGCAACTCTTGTCCAGATGCCTCCAGTGTCAGGGGTGTTCTCAGTCTTCCTTCTGCTCCATTGTCTTGCTTTCACTCTGCTAGAAAGCTGAAGCCCTTCCCAATATAGGGAAGTACCTTAGTCATCAGACCTGGTCATGCTCACCTTTGCCCCAGCACTCTCGCAACTGCTTGGTGTATTTTCCTTGGGATCCTGGAAACTTAACCTGTCAAAGGAAGCCACTTGGCACTTAATCCTAACAGCTTCCAGAATCTTTATGACTCATGAACTCAGATATGGAAGGCTATCCATCGTTTATAATCATTAAGTATTCCTGTGGCACCTTCAGAGCATCTGGCCTTGAACCACACTCTACAGAGTTATCAAACTGTAAGCACGTTCAGGGCTTAAACTTACTTCTTCATAGTCCTTCCTATTCCTCAAGATCCCCCTGCCCGGGGCTCTACCTCATCCTCTGCAAGTATTCCTTAACATGTGCTGAGAGCATCTCACCTGGGGCTTCATGCAGTCGGCTGCATGTTAGAGGCACCTGGGAAGCTTTTTAAAATCCTGATGCCCAGGAAATTCCCCAGCTAAGTTATAGCAGACACTCTGAGAAGTGGAGGTGGGGGCCCAGCATCAGCATCTTTTTAAGGTTCCCAGGTGGTTCCAGTTATGTAGCCAGAGTTGAGAGCCATTGTAATGGGCTCGTTTTCTTGTTTAACAGCAGGTAAAATCACCTACTGAAAAATGCTTCTCCCACTATTAGTAAATTTCCTTTAGACCATGTGGAGTGGCCTTCTTTAAACCACAGTAATGTCTGAAGGCAATGATGCTAGCTAGCATGGCCTCAACCCTAAGTGGGCAGTTTAATCTGTCTGTGGTCCTTCCCCCGCCTCCGGAGCAACTAAGTGCACCGCCTTTCCAGTCAAGTCAGACATCCTCCACTGATGCAGTGTGTAAGTCAGGGAAATAAATGGCACGTTTACAATCCCTATTTAGACCTGAGATGGACCCCAGCCCGGCCTCTTCAAACTAGCGAAGTAGGCCCGAGTTTGTTGCTATGGAGCAGGCATCACCATGGAAACGTTTCTTCCCCTGGTGCAGCGAGGAGATGGCAGTGAAGGCAGCTGGTGTGTGATGCAGACAGACACCCAGAGACTGGGTTACCCCTCACCAGAGCAAGCAGAAGGGGGAAGGAAGGCAGCTCCATGTGGTCCCAGGGGGCTTCGGAATCCATGATCACAGTCTCACGAGGCCTGGCATTTGGGTGTTACAGATTTTCAGTGCCAGACTGATGCTCTGCTGCCATCAGCAGCCAGGAATGGCAGGAAATCGAATTTGATTCCCCAAGTGTGACTTGTCTTCACTGAGACATGCACTGACAATGTGTAGGGCTCGATGAGAGCAGTCTGGCTTCTGGGGATTTCTGCCTGGGCATACAGGCATGCTCCATGCTTGCAGAAAGTGCTCAGAAGAACAAAGGGTGCAAGTGCAGCAGGAACACAGCCAGAAGGGCAGCTCCAAATCTGGGAGGGCAACCCTAACGCTGGTCTCAAATGCTATCAGCACTTCAAGGCAGACTTGAGGGGGCCGGGGTAGCAAATCTGGGGGACTGCACAGGTGCTGAGCATCCCCGTCATTTTCATCTCTGTGAACGACACTGCTGCAGGGAGAAGCACAGCTGCACGCGATGCTCTGTGCGTCGAAGTGCTGAAGACCTCGGCTGGGCTGGGCTTGAGTCTGGATGGAGGAAAATCGTCCATGTCTGGAGATGGGCCACTGTTCATTAAAAGAGTGTACAAAGGTAACGTCCTAAAAACCTAATCAGCCATCTGTTTTCCTTCTGTGCATGTCAGTGCCTGCCATTTGGAAATCAAATTTGCTTAAAAAAATCTAAAATGTTAACACTTTGTGACAATAAAGGGTTTACTGTGCATCAGCCCTGTGGCGTTTTACACGTATTAACTCATGTTGTCCACGTGACAATCCTATTGGATAGGTACTCTTATTATCCTTGTTTTATAAAAGGAGAAACTGAGCCACAGGGGAGTTATGCAAGCGCCTGAGGTCACACAGGCATGAGTGGCAAAACCAGGCTTAACCCCAGGCAGCCTGGCTCTGGAGTCTGTGCCCCTAACCTCTATGCTGTATCCCTACTTCCATGTTCTTATCTGCGTGTCCTTAGCTAATGTTAGCTGTCATGGATGTGAACATACCAAACTACGTACAAATGCCATCAGAACTACCAGGCAGGGGTCTTAACATCAGCCAAGATGGCAGTCACTTAAAACTGCAAATACCAGATTGCAGGAAAAGTAAGGTGGGAGCAGTAGATAGCACTGAAATAGTCAGTAGATAGGAGGTCTCTTCATGAATTCGATAATTCATTTTATGATCTTGGACAGTTCTCAAAAATCTTCAGGTACCCAAGCGGAACAATTATATAAACAATATAATTATACTAGCAATATCAGTATATACATGTATGTTATATATATTATGTATCCTATTATATGTAATATATTTAATATGCTAATATGTTTAATATAATACTAATATTAATATATACATACATTTATATATAAATACATCCTATTAAATGTAACATTTCTAATATTTAATACTAACAAACAATATCGTTAGTTTGTATTATATATAACATACATGTATATATATTGTTTATAATTATACTAACCTATACAGGGACCTATACACTGCTCATCAATCCATGCTGTGGCAGTGTCCCACATACAAAATAGAGGAAGTCTGGCAGGGATGTTTGCTCAGGGCCAATCTTCCTCAAGCAAAAAGAGGAAGATTGGCACAGATGTTAGCTCAGGGCCAATCTTCCCCAAGCAAAAAGAGGAAGATTGGCACAGATGTTAGCTCAGGGCCAATCTTCCTCACTAAAACATAAATAAAATAAAAGCAGGAAGAGTATCCATGACACAAGACCAAAACAAACAAACAGTATTCAAAAGGAACAGGCGGAGGCTGGCCTGGTGGCACAGTAGTTAAGTAAGTTCGCATGTTCTGCTTCAGCAGCCCTGGGTTCACCAGTTTGGATCCTGGATGTGGACCTAGCACCGCTTATCAAGCCATGCTTTGGCAGGCATCCCACATATAAAATAGAGGAAGATGGGCATGGATGTTAGCTCAGGGCCAATCTTCCTCAAAAAAAAGAAAGGGACCAGGCAGGTATGTTATCACACACAGACAAAACCTGTTAGTGAAAACGCAAATATATTTTTTAAATTAATAAACAATTTAAAAGTATATTAAATCCTTATGAAAGGAGAATTTCTAAAAATCAAGATAGAAGAGACCATAAATACGGACTGTAGCACAAAGGAATAAAGAGCCAAACTATCACGAGTGATAGCAAACAGAGGTAATTTCAGATACACACAATGAAGGCAGCTGGAGTCACTGCCACCAAAGTCAGTCACAGGACTTCCAGCCTCTGCAGGCCAAGAAGCTCACGGCCCATAAAGGTGTCCGAGGCCTGCAGGCCAAAAGACCAGATGCTGAAGCCGGTAAAGCTCAGCCCAGGGAGAGTGAGGGCGCCAGGCTGGAAATCCCATGGAATGTGCAGCACTGAAGTGGGGAGAAGCCCCAGGAGAGAGAAGCATCCTCCAGATCTAGTCCAGCAGCGCAGGGACGATGTCCTGGATGACTTCTTGGCCTTTGTCTAGCACCTGGCTAGAAATGCACGAAAATGACTATATACATGGATACAGAGGAGGGAGAAAGAAGCACCTGTTCCACATGCCAGCATTTTAGATGCTATTGTGTGCAAGCCTGCAGCTTCTTCTTGGGAGAAGACATCCAAGTATTTCTGTATATAAGTAGATCCCTCCCTTCACTCTTTTTTGAAGACTAGTAAATCTAGTTTCTTTGCACAGGCTCAGAGCTCTGTCCAAAGATTTCATCTTCTTACCTTTATTTCATGCAGTCATGTATGAAATATGCACTGTGTAACGACAGACCACACATACAACAGTGGTCCAGCAAGATTAGTACCATGTTGCCGAGGTGTGTGGCAGGCGATACCATCTAGGTGTGTGTGAGGACACCCATGATGTTCACACAATGACAAACTCACCTAACAAATTTCTCGGAATGTGTCCCCATCGTTAAGCGATGCATGATTGTACTTACAAATTTAACAGGTACAGGTTTTCTGTTTATCTTGTTTTCCTGTGCCGTTTAGCTCAAGCACCAAAAGTAATATAGCAATACTTGATTTCTTGTATTGGTCTCATACAAAAAAATTTCTTTGAATAATAAAGGAATCAAATATCCTATTTCCCTACAGCTTTCTTAAAGGTCAGGGATTTTATCTACGAAAAAAGGTAGTAAATAGTTATTTGTGGCCTCCTATGAGAAGCGACAGCCATCCAGGTAAAGGTTATTAAAATGCTTCTCTTTTCATCATTTTACCAAGAATATCAGTAATACAACAAGCCAAGAAAAAGATAAGAAGTATAAAGATTGGAAATATAGGGATATAAGTTGTCATTATTGGCAAATTATATGTTCTTCCTGACTGAAAAAATCTAAGAGAATCAAATGTGAAGCCAATATAAATAGGTCAGCAAGATCGCTGAATTCACAATCAACATATAAAATCAACAGAATTGCCTATACATCAGTAATAACCATTACTTAAAAATACTATAGGAGGATTACTTAAACATAACACAAAAAGCACATATAAAAGAAAAAATAAAACATTTAGTTTCTATACGGCAAGAATATTCATAAGCAAATATAAAAATATCTAAGAGTATGTTTGCAATGTATTTAATCAACAAAAGGCTAATGTCCAAAATATATAAAGAACTATAATTCAATAAGAAAACTACAAAATCAAGAGAAAAACTGGATAAAGAAAATGAATAGAAATTGATAAAAGCTAAACCCTCGGGCCAGCCCAGTGGTGTAGCAGTTCACATGCTCCACTCAGCAGCCCAAGATTTGCAGGTTCGGATCCCAGGTGTGGACCTATGCACCGCTCATCAAGCCACGCTGTGGCAGCATCCCACACACAAAACACAGGAAGATTGGCACAGATGTTAGCTCAGGGACAATCTTCCTCACCAAAAAAAAAATAGTTAAAACCTAAATGGCTAAGAAACACAGGAAAAGGTGCTCAAACTTATGTGAGTTATTGAGTGAAAATTATAACTATTAGGAATCATTCTTTAAGTCAGGTTGATCGTAAATAAGAAATCTCATAATCCGATGTGTTGGCAAGGATATGGAGAGAGGAGAGCACTCATACTTTCTGGTAGAAGTATATATTGGTTCATCTGTTTGGGGAAATATTTGGCAATGCTTGCTAAAATGGAAACTAAATTTCTATCTGTAGCAGAAAGATAGGTAAAATATATCACACTCTTAGAACGGAAAACTATATAGCCATTCAAGAAGCAAGTTAAATCTATATATATATGTGAAAGTAGTCTGAAAGCAGGCACCCTCTTTGGTCTACACAACACTGGATGTTTCATCAAGGACTTTCATCTACTTCATCTCAGTCGATCCTGGTAACAACCTAGTGAGGAAACAAGACAGACGTTAAACATCACCATTTTACAGATGAGAAAACTGAGATTTAGACAAACTTGTAACTCACTTGAAGTCTTGAACTAGAAACCAAAACTCAGTCTTGGGGGAGTGATGTCAGCACCATGGCAGAGTGAGCCGTCCCAGCAATCTCTCCCCTCCACCATACAATGAAAAAGAAGTTCATACTCCAACAGAGGACATCCAAACACAACATAAAAGACGTCTGAGAGACCCATGCCGCCATATGACAGAGGGTGGGGAGACTGGAGCCCTGCTCAGAGGAGGTGGAACAGGGTAAGGGAACACTTTGTTCCCTCCCCAAAAGACTGATCCAGGACCGTGGGCCACCTCCGAGAGGGAAGGAACGGGGGAGGGAACATTTGTTCACAGGAACATCAAAGATCCCTGAGGGCCCTTGCAGCCTAGGGGAAAGCCCCTAGAGAGGTGAAAGCTAACGTGGGGGTGATCTCATTAAGCCAATACCCCAGGAGAGCAGATAGTGAGGGCAGAGCGAGAAAACCCCAAGAGCACATAGAGGAAAGCACCCACTCACCCACCCAGCACTGGCTTCAGTGCCTGGGATCTTGGGGGAATGCAGAGGGCTCAGAATACACAGCTCTTGACCCCTACACAGTGGCCAGTAGGCAGTAAATGCAACCAAATAATACCACAATGCACAAAAAGAGAATCATGCCCTTTAGCAGTATCAAAAATTATACTGAATCTGCAGACCAGAGAGAAAATGACAAGTACCCAGAAATCAGTCCTGAGGACACAGAAATTTGTCATCTAAATGACAGAGAATTCAAAATAGCTATCATTAAAAGACTCAGCAAGTTAAAAGAGACTGTAGAGAAACAATTCAACAAGTTCAGGAGCTACTTCACAAAAGAGATTGAAACTATAAAGAAGAACCAATCAGAAATATTGGAGATGAAAGACGCAGTTAAAACTCAGCCTGATTGCTACGCAGTGCACTTTCCACTGACCCTCGGGCTCCTGTTTTGGTTGGTTGGAACCATCTCCAACATCCTTACACTCAGGTGAACGCTCACAGAATTCTGAGGTTTCACATAACCTGCTTGGGGCCTTTAGTCAATATTCCTAGAAGAGCAGGACATTGGGTACACATACTAACACAGGTATAATTAGTTATGAAAAACAACAGTGCTTTGGTTCTTCCAAAAATGTCTATCTTGAGAAAGCAGTGACTGGGACTAAATCTCTTTGCTCCCACCATAGAGCACTGGGGAGGGCTCGTGTGTTTTCTAATGACAGTATCTGCCTCTATCATTAACAACATAAAACATTTTTGTCCTTGAGTGGTTTGGATTTGAACTTATCCTTTTCTCCCAGCTATATTTTTATTATTTTATCAATCTTTATAATCAACTATAATAACTGCATGTGTATAGATATCAAATAATTTTTCACATTTTTCACATATTTAGGATGAAATAGATACAGCTCAGTTTTTTGAGATCTAATTAAGATGTGAGAAAATTAATTATTTTCCTAACTTCGGAATTTTCCTCTCTCAACTTCCCTTTTTCTATGCTAAGAAGCCTCCACAGCCAGCATGCATTTCTTCTTCAGTGAGATTGTTTTACATGTCTATGTGTAAGAAAGTAAATAAAAGAGGGCTTAAACCTGTGTTTTTCTCAAAGCTCATAAATCTGCTCTAACATACACAGAGCTGGACTCTAGAAATATATGAAGCTTTGTGGCTAAGGAATCAATTAAGTAATCTCCAGTCACTGATGAGCATATAACCACTGATTCTCAGAACTCAGATTTCTATCAGCCAATATCTGTTAACAATTAGAAGTTGAGCCTGTTTTCCTACATTTATTGGCCATCTGGATTTTAGCTGTTGATTTCCTTTGCTCAACTTTCCCTTTATTTTGTATTCTTACTCATTTGTAGTTCTTTATCTGGTTTAGATATTAAGCCTGTGTTAACTAAATACATTGAAAATATCTTCCCCTAGTCATTTGCTTATTTTTATCCTGCTTATGTTTTGGGGGAAAGTGGTTATGGATTTGAAATTTTTTATGTAGTCGAATTTCTTTTTAAGGGTATATGCTTTGTGTGTCTTGTTTAAGAAGTACTTCCCTTATCCTAAGAATATGGGCCTATCACTTAGAGATTTTTCTCATTTTTGTTTTTAGTTTACTTGGAATTTATTTTGAATACTATGAAAGTACCAAGCCATTATTCTCTATTTATTCTCACAGGTGGTGCAGCTGAACAAGCTGGAACAATAGAAGCTGGAGATGAAATTCTTGCCATTAACGGGAAACCTCTGGTTGGGCTCATGCACTTTGATGCCTGGAATATTATGAAGTCTGTCCCAGAGGGACCTGTGCAGTTAGTAATTAGAAAGCACAGGAATTCCTCATGAAACAGGCGCTAGGAGTGATACTCACTAGTAGTGCTTATGTTTTTTAACCAGAGTCTCCTTTTCTCAGTTCCTTTCTTACTTTAGCAAACCAGAATGACTTTTCTCAACGATGGGTTCCTGAAACAACAAAGAAACATTGGTGAAGGCGAGGACTATGAAAATCTCCAACTCTTTCATTATACCTAAAGCTGACCTACTGTATGTGCAGCAGCAATGGAGCAGAACTCTGGAAGCCTCTCTCCTCATCTCCTAGGCTGGGGGGCTCACTGGCTCCAGTGCCTGTCCCTACCTTGTATGTTCACTGATGGGGACACAGATGTGACATGCCCTTCTTCATCTGAAACATTCTGCCAGACCTTCACATCCCTCTTGCACCACCTCTCCCAACATACCCAATCCTGGCAGTTAGGGAGCCAGTGAAGTCTGAGGGGCAACACAAATGTCACAACTGAAAGGACTGTAGTTTTATAGAATTTTGTAAGTAAATAACAATGCTTTTAGGCACATTCAATGGAAAGAGCTGTAGGTCTGTATGTTACCCTGAAAAAAAAAAATCACTTATAACCTAATGGCTAGGCTGAGCTCAGGAATTATCCGAAAATGAAAAAAGCGAGATACAGAAAGTAATATTTTTTAGTGAGTGTAATGTGCAACATGTGGATGCAGAGTTCAACTCAGTGGGTTGTTGATCACCATGAAGTGTCGATCATAATCTAAAAGTGTAAGTCGTAAGGCTGTTTTACAGAAATGCAGTTCTGATAAATGTATGAAATAGCCATGAACTTCGCTGCTTAGAGTAAGCAGAAAGTTCCAGCTCTGAAAGCACCTTGCATCTAGTTTGGAACTTGTCTTGAATAAGGTGCCTGAATTCAAGACTGGTCAACACAAAAGCGGGCAAAAATATCACAGTCACTGGGTTTCCATTTCTATATTTACCACTAATTGAAACTAAATTATTTTTAGAAATCAAATATCTTTTTAATGCCCTTGGATTTATAAACATAGGCATTATATTTACAATCCAAACAGAGAAGCTTAAAACATCCTTTTTAGGAGACTTTGTTTGGGTGGTTTTCCCCCCGTTTCCCAAGATGCTTAAGAAATGTAACATTTCTAAGCACTGGATCTCCTTTCCTGACCCGGCCGTAATGACATACCTCTGCAGTGACTGAAGTTTTTGCTGTTTTTGTTTTTTCTTCCTTTTGCCAACAACGGTTCCCTGCAGAAGAGAAGACTGCTGTGACTCACGCTGCTTGTGAAACCCGTCCCGGCTGCTGCTCCTTTCGAAGCACGAGCTTCTTCACAGTAGCTGTCCCCATTCAATGTACCGGTCCTCTTCTCCCCTCGTACTGTATCTTCTCAGACCCCAAACCCTCATCAGCTTCATTTACCAAAATGTAATGAGAAAAAGAAAACGCAGAACGAGGGTGAGCCCTCTCTCAAGGTCAAGGAGCCGAACTCTATATTACAACCCAAATCCTTGGGTGGCACAGGCCAGCTGATTGAGTCGTGGGAATACGGGTGAGCTTGCATACCTGTGTGCATGATGACGCTAAGGTTTTCTGTTGGAGATTTCTTTAAATAACCTACAGTTCAGGTCTATGGCTTAGAGAAAAAAACTCAGAGGTCATTAACACTCCCTCCCCCCAACATGGAGGTACTTGAGCCGTCACCTTTGTACATCACTTTTCTGAGTGACTAATCCCAGTAAACCTCCATGGAGTTGGCCCAGAGAGGTCTCTCAGGTGGGACTGAAATATCTGGCTGGTGTGACCCAGATTTCTCATTTTTTAACAGGTTATTCAAAAGAGAATGTAGTACAGGTGTTAGCTAGAAAGACCTGATTAATTTAGCTTCTACTTTTCACTACAATTCCAGGTAGGATACTATGATAGGAAGTCAGTGCAAGATGCATGCTAGATTGTTTTCAAGTCTCTGGGGTCAGTTTTGTGGTTTGTGCTTTCTTGCCAAAATGACGAGAGACTATTTGAAGTCAACACTGAAAACTATTTTTTGCCTCCACTCTTCCTACTGTGCCTACTAGTAGGGAAGGCACAGTCCTATGTGAACAGACAGGAAATTCTAGAGCAATGTGGAGCGACGGAATGGTCTCCTGTGCGTCCCTAATCCTCCTATCTATCTGAGGACTGCCAGGGTGCCCTGGCTCACTAACCTATGTTAAAGTCATCAGCCGTTTCTAGTAGATCTTGCTGGAAGGGTTCCCCGGCTGACACTTGGAATACAAGGGAGGAAGCAAAAGCTAAACCATCTCTGACCCTAAGAGAGAAAGCTATTTATTTGTCTTCAGTGTTCAAGGCATGACTAGTATTTCTAATTAGTCTAATAAATTCCCACACTTCCTGAAGTGAACACTAATGGTATTGTCCTACTAAACTTTCATTGTTTTGGTTTTTTAACTGGTCAGTCATTCACGATAAGCTATGGGGGTAAATGTGTTATAACATGTGAATCGTAATTGCAAAGATATACCGTGAAGGTTTAAGTAGGTTGGGTTTCATTTCTATCCTCCCATACACATCTCATTTAATTTTACGGTTGACTTAATTGGCACCACACCTGTTGTATGATATTATACATTATCCTTTATTTATGTAAAATAAAATGCCTTATATATTAAAGAGTAAGTGCAATAATATGAAATAGCCTGTACATTTTAAAAATGTTGTCGCCAAGTTATGTAAATCCACATGTCTGTAAACAACTTTTTTTAAGTAATTTTAAAAAAATAAAACACTGCTTACCAGTTGTTTTCTTTAGTACTGTATTTGTAGAATATGCTTACCTAAATTATTACCTAAATGGGTGAGAGCTACAAAGGCAAAAGAACGCTAGTCAACCACTCTTTTCTGTGGCCACACTCAGGATCTGATACAGTCCAAAACTGTTCTCCCCCCAAAATCTTCAAATGAAACATCCCAAGCTTTTACAACCTCCTGACCTTCTGGCTCTCACTTCCCTTCCTCCTCCTACTGCCTCTTGTCTTCAGTTTCAACAAGCCCTCCAATCCCTTGATAGACAACTGTCAGTTTTCTCCCCATCAAAACCTGCATGCTTTCGTTCGCTTCTCTATTCAGCCTAGACCCCATGGGAGAGCACAGCCATCCCTGTCCAGCCCACAGTCTCAGCTCCCTTGCCCCAGCTAATCCTGGATCCTTTCAGCTCGCCAACTTCTTGGTTCCTCCATGCCTATTTCTAGAGAAAATCCCACACCCCCACAGAATGATGCTGCTATAAATTCATAGTTTCCAACCTCAACTGGACCCTCGATGCTATTCGGCACTTGTTTCCTTGTCAGTTTTTTCTCTCATTCTTCACAAAGACTACGCTCTTCATTCTTCTCAAAACCCCTTTCCTGCTCACTTTCCCGCCGATACTCAGACGATCTGGGATCCCACTTCAGAGAATGAAAAAAAAGCATCTACTTTATTTGGACTCTTGGTTTTAAGATGTAGACACCAACCTAGAGTAGCCCAAGGAAGACAAGGTGGCATCTCACAGAAATCCAAGAATGGGATTTGGCCTGTGACCAGGCCTCAGAGACTGGAGGAACTCAGGCTCACGGCTCTTCACTCAGTGCCCTCTACTGACAGGACTCCACTGCTGTTTGTGGGTTTGTTTCTGCAGACTCACTTCTCTTCCCTCCACCAGTTGGTGACCTTATCCCCAACTCTTCACACCTTTTCTTTACTTAGAAACCTTCTATGAATGCCCTTTTATCATAATTTTGGCCCTACTCAATATCACAGTATTTCTCTGGACATAAAAGCTGCTGCCTGCCTGATTTTCCACATATACCCCATATAAAAGTAAGATTCTGATTGGCTCAGTCCACCCCTTCTTGGGTAGAGCATTTTCCTGGGAAAGCGAGTGCTTGTTTGCATAACTCTCCTCTCTAAAACCCACTGAAACAAATACAAAGAGGGAAACTAGAATTTTAATACAATATAGAAATAGCCACAAACCCATTCAATGAATGTTGAAGACTACATATATATCATGTACAATAAAATGCAAGACCAAACTGAAGGCAAACAATGAAATAGGATACAATGCTCTCTGAATGAGAGAAAGCAAAGGTGGTATGAAATGAAGAATGTCACCAAAATCCTTAACTTGGAGAAAGGGAATTACAGCAGAAGGCAGGCCCCAGAAACAGCAGGAAGCACCCAGAACTGGAGCCATTTCCACTCCTCAGAATGGCAGGGAAGGTGAAGGTGAAAAGGGGGATCACTTTAATTTTCCTAGGCAGCTGGTCGGCCTAGGGAGGTCAGAGGAATAACAGGCAAGGAATGGTCTATTCTGAGGGGAGCCCCTGCCAGACAGGTTCCTGCAATGAAAAGGCTCAACTGTTCAGTAGGAGATTAGCTGCTGCAGCTCAGTGGCCCCATAAAGGTCATAGCAAGCACCAATCCACACTCCTCTCGACAACCCCCAAAGCAGCTGAGTATCTCAACAGAGAGTAAAACCAGCTAGTATCCAACTTTCCTCTCATCCGAAGGAATGAACTCAATAAGGCTTAAACACACAGAGCTCTAAAGGATCCAACACTGACCAATCTCGGGCAAATGGCAGGCTTAGATAGAACCTCCACATTCCCCACTAAACAAATCAGGTTCAGCAAGAGTTCTCATGAATACAGAACTGGGAAAGCTGGAGGGAGGGTGTTGAAACATAATATGCAAAAAGGCAGATAAAAAAACGTAATTTGGAGGACTACCTTGGGAATCAAAAAATTATGAACACAGTTTTGTATTCTCAATGTACTTAAAGAGAACATGGCTTCTAAGAAGCACAAGATCAAAAAAGAGATAAAATCAAATGAGATTAATATGGATCTGATAGAACTAAGAACTGAAGAGACCACCTTACCAAACCAAAGCCACATGAGAAGCATCAAGTCAAATCAAATTGCAGAAATCCAAGTTGATGACATTGAAGAATGCTTAGAATACAATGAAAAAGGATAAACCAAATTTATAAATCAAATAAAATCCTGATTAAATGTTAGCCAATAGAATCTAGTAGTAGCTTAAAAATAATACCAAGCCTAAGTGATGTTAATTCCAGGAATGCATGAATGACTTGAAATTAAGAAATGGATAAATGTAGTTCATTATATTAGTAGGACAAAAAAAGAAAGAAAAATTATTGTGAAACGTGTCAATAGATACTTTTTTAAAGCCTGCATCATACTCTAGTGGGAAAACTCCAGAATCATTCCCATTAAAGTAAGGAATAGACACAAAAAGGATGTTCACTGTTGTTATTGTTGAATAATAATCTTCTGTAGGTACAAGCCAATACAATTAGACAAAATTTTTAAAAAGTGGTATGAGGTAGAAAGAAACGAAAGTATCATAATTTGCACATTATATAGTTTGGTACATGTAAACAGAAACATAGCAATTTCAAAACTATCAGAGCGCCTCGTGTCTGAGTGGTTAAATCCGCGCACTCCGCTGCAGCGGCCGAGGGTTTCGCCAGTTCGGATCTTGGGCGCGGGCACGGCACTGCTCATCAAGCCATGCTGAGGAGGCGTCCCACACAGCACAACTAGAAGGACTCACAACTAAAAATACACAACTATGTACTGCGAAGCTTTGGGAGAAAAAGGAAAAATAAAATCTTTAAAAAAAAAAAGACCTATTAGAATATTCGAATTCAGTACGGTGGCTATAAAAAATTTTTCACCAAAAACAAGAGCTTTCCTATATATAAATAATAACCAGTTAGAACGTATAACGGGAGGAAACACCTACCACAATAGCAACTGAAAATATATTTAACCTTAGCAAGGACAGGCAAGCCTAAAAAAAAAAAAAGCTCTATTAAGGGGCAAAAAAGGTAACTCAAACAAATGGGGGGATACAGCTTGTTCTTGGATAAGATGATTCAATACTAGAAAGATCTCAGTTCTCCCCAAACTAAGGTATAAATGTAATTTAAGTCCAACCATAATCTCAAAACAATTTTTCTAACCTGACAAAATTATTCTGAAGTCTGTCTGGTAGGATAAACGTGTAAAAATAGCCAGAAGAATTTGGGGAAAAAAAATAGTAAGGGGGGGGAGGGGACTAGCCCTATTAAAACATTATCAGAAAACTACTATAATTAAAATAGTGGCTCCACTACCACAGAACTAGACAGGTAAACCACTGGAATAAAGAGCCAAATATATATATATATGTATACGTAATTCTAAGTTCAAAGATTCTAAATTCCAGGAAAATTCAAAGGGAGCATTCTAAATCAGTGGCAGAAAACAGAGATTATTCAATAACTAGTTTTGGAAAAACTGGCTAGGTATTTTTGGGGGAAAAAAAGCTGGATCCCTTGCAACAAAATCCCTGACAACAAAATAAAAATACCGGTCACAGATTTACAGCAAGAAAGGAAAACAAAAAACCATCCAAAAAGCCAAATAAATATATTGTCTTAATCATAAAGTGAATATGAGGCTAAATTCAGAAGCTATAAAGCAACAGGCTCATAATTTAACCAGACTACATTCAAACTAAAAACTACTGGGGGCTATCCCAGTGGATTCAGGCAAGATGGCAGAACAGTGACACAGTTTTTTAATCTCCTCATACCCCATCCATGCCCCACTCCCTGCTGCTAACACCACACACAGCAACTAGCCTAGAATAACCACAGTAAACCACAAACCCCAAAACATACAAATGGGCAGGGACAAACTACGAACACTACCAAGACCGATCTGGTATCAGGATCTGTGCAAGGGAAATAGAAGGAAACAGGGTGCATCTGATAGCTCTAAGACCACCCTCCCCCCATAATCAAATCATCAATAGGAAAGCTCAGAGGACCAAATGGACAACAGCAGATGAAAGCGGAATTGTTTGTTCACCTTCTCATCGCGGGCAAGTGTGTGGGGATCTGTGATGAAGGTGGAGAGGGTGGACACGGCCTCTACACTCTCCAACTCATCGGCCAGTGCCCCACACTTCTTCCAAGTTGGAGAAACTACTAGGAACGGAATCCAAGTTGAGCAGGACAAGAACATGGGGATCAAGAAAAACAAGGTCCAGATAAAGGTGGGTGAAGGGAGCAGAACCAGGAGATCTCAGAAAGCAACCTGCCGTATTACACTCCACCAAACAAAGAGGGAGGTCTAGAGAATAAATAGTTAGTAAAGCTACTCTGCCACACATCTTCCTTCCAAAAGCATAGGAAAAGTAATTTCATGCAAAAGTGGGCAACAGAAGGGGCTGGCCCCGTGGCCGAGTGGTTAAGTTCACGCGCTCCGCTGCAGGCGGCCCAGTGTTTCGTCGGTTTGAATCCTGGGCACGGACATGGCACTGCTCATCAAACCACGCTGAGGCGGCGTCCCACATGCCACAACTAGAAGGATCCACAACTAAGAATATACAACTATGTACCAGGGGGCTTTGGGGAGAAAAAGGAAAAAAAATAAAATCTTTAAAAAAAAAAAAAAAAAAAAAGGGCAACAGAAGATAATCTAGGTCAAATCCCAAACAAAGCTATTCTAAGAAAAAGGAGGCTGAGAAGCAAACACAACCCCTACAGACAACAAAAGCACACCAAAAGACGTGCCCAGGAAAGCAACGAACTGTAACTTAGTACCTCAAATAAATTAAAATACATCAAGAAAATGACACAAAATACAAATAAATAATAATAACTGAAATTAGAAAAATTCAGAAATTCGGTAAACTCAAGAAAAAAATTAAAACAATTTCAGAAAAGACTAAACTAGAAAAAAAATCCACAGTAAACAAACACGATAACGTCTTAAGAGACAGAGACAAAAAGGGTGAAATGTTGAAAGATCAATGATAAAGGGAAAAGGACCCAAGCAAAACTAATAAATAAAGAAGATATATAATAGGAAGCCTCAAAGAAGAAAACCCTAAACAATGGAACAGAACAAATAGGAACACTTTAATTTTCCTGAAATTGAGAATAAAAAAGATCTGACACTACATACTGAAAGAACACATCACATACTCGGGAATACTGATCCAGAACAACTAACACCAAAACATACTGTACTAACATAGCGGGGAAAAAAACTGGGGGGAAAAACCCCATGTGCTCCAGAAAAAAAGAATAAGGCATTCACGAGGGAAAGAAATCATATTATAATCACTTTGACAGTAATGCTTTATGCCAAAAAGAACATATTTAAGATACTCAAAAAAAAAAGTGACCCAAGAATTTTATCCAAACTGACTTTTAAATAAAATGCTATAGATAAATACTGTCAACAGCATACAAAAACTTAGGGACTATTATTCTCACAAGCCCTTTCTGAAGAATCTAACAAATGAGCAAAATAACCAAAGTGACTGGATAAACAATGACATAAGGAATAGCGGTGAGCATTAAGTACGTATTTCTACTTGAAGAGTTAAGACTAAAGTAACAGTTAAAAGGGAGAGATTACAGTATATAATAATGATGTTCTTATAACACAGACGCAGCGCAACTACGAAAAGTGGGGACACTGAACTGTACGCTTAAAAATGGTTACAATGGTACATTTTGTTACGTATATTTTACCACAGTAAAAAAGGGAAAAGGAAATTACCTTATTAGTTTACATTTATACTTCTGATTTGAATTTAGAATACAAAGTTTTTTATCTTCTATTTTAAAGCTGAATCTCCACTTTTCCATAATCGAGAATCCTGGTTCTCATCAAGGAAATTGATGATTATGAAAGAATGTTTATTCATAAGTTCACAATAAAAAAACCTAATCAGTCACCTCTGGAGAATGCCAGGGAACCAACTCTATTGATAATTGGTAAATAAAATATACAATTATCCTACCTTTCCTCTACGAACTGTACTAAAAAGTAATGTAGAAAAGATGAAGTTTCTCGTAGAGAAATACTCTAGCTAATAAAGAAGAAATAAAAATTAAAATATCACCACTCTGCAACCCAGTAAATCACTGGATCTAAGAACTGCACAGCCAGGTTGCCAGCATCACAGAAGGAGAGACACTGTGTGCTTCCTGATGGAAGAGACACTACCACCTATGAAACAGCCTTGCCTGTACCAACAAACCTGAATCTGACGGAGCCTCTAGATCCAATGACCAACTCTTGGGAAGTGCACACGTCAGAAAAACACATTAAACTACACCATGTGGGTGCAATCAGCAAAACCAAACTTTGCAGAACTCTACAGGACAAGTGATCCAATTTCATCAACAAATATTTTGCAAGGGGAAAAGCAAGAGAGATGGGGGAGAAGAAACTATAGATTAAGAGAAACTTAAAAAGACGCATCAAATAAAAAATGAAGCAAAAGAGAACAAAAGTATTAGATGTACACTGGGTCTGGAGGGTGATTACCCTTAGTGTTGGGGAGACTATAATTACGAGACGGCCTTCACCAGCTTCTGGACAGCTGGCAAGGTTCCATCTTCACCTGGATGATGACATGTTTGCCTTAAAATAATTCATTAGCCTATATATTTATGTGTTTTCCATTTGTACTTTTGTCATAAAAATTAAGTGTATACATATATATTCATAAATTATATATTTATGTGATTTTTCTGTTATATTTAATCATACTTCCAAAAATTTTTAATGAAGTACATATACATATGCCAAATCTGAGTACCAGGCAGATCTCTAATTTAGTAGGACAATTAAGGTCTCCACAGATACCATGCTCAGCAGTGAACCTGACGCTTTTCCAAATGTTAAAAAAAAAAAAAAACTTACCATATACCAACTCCAAAGACTGAGAAAACCAGTTGCATCACAGACACAAGCAAGTCCTGTGAATATATGGCAAGATATATGGCAAGTCCTGATGAATCAATACATAAAAAGATCAATGCTCATTAGAAAAATGGATAAGGAACATGAACAGGTAACTCACAGAAAAAAATACAAATTACTAATAAAGATAATAAGTGATAATCAACCATTCAATAATTAAAATAACTTGATCATTATCTCCTATGAGCTTGGCAAAGACCAGGATTGATGATACCCTTTACAGTATTGGCTAAGGTGTGAGAAACTAGCATTCACGTTATTGGTAGAAATATAAGTTAACATGAATCTCAGGAATCAATTTGACTTTACCTTTTACACTTTCAAGGCAGACTCTTTGAGCAAATTCACTTCTAGTAATTCCTCCTAGAGAAATGAGACAAATATAGACACATGTACAAAATTATACAACACTATCTGTAATAATGAAAAACGAGAATAATCCAAATGCCCATTAGTGAGAGAAGTTATACAATGAAGCCAAAAATTATTAAAAAGAATGATGGGTGCTTATTCTGAAAGCTGTCCACGATACAAGAAGTACAGAAAGTAAATTGCATACCAGTATATAATGCTAGTGGGAATCAGAGTACACCACTGGTCTCTCAGGAGTAAATGCCTATACAATTCTGACACTGGGCTGAGAAAGTTTGGGTATCACTTTAACTATGGTACCATCCACATCCTCTTTGAAGGATAACCTGTAAGGTTAACATTAACACTACTACCTTCTGGAAGTATTAAAGAACATACGACATTTGTGCAGAACTTACAGAGCCAGGAATATCATTCTGGGACCCAAGGGGCTGTGATGGATTGGAAATTACCTCAGGTGTTGGTCATCTTGATCTGGATGAAAGAGAGCAATATCATCTGACAATATGTAATAAGTTAATACAAGATGGAGAGACCACATTGTTGGAATCAAACTTCATAAAATACCTCACATAGACTTGTGACTAGCAGTTTCTATGTTCAGGGGGCAAGAGTAGCCATCACTAGCAGTCATGGACCCTTGCCATCATCAGGCTGGATGTCATTACTTAACGGTCCAATATTGCCACTGAACCAGTCAGACAGGAGCCTCTTTCACTTTCCTTCGGGTGATGATCAAATTCAAAGGTTTGTTGTACTTAAAAAGAGTATATCTTACCCATCTGTTCACAAACAATGGGAAAAACTGAATAATGGAATGTGTCAGAGACCACTGGGAAATCATGCTTCAGCAGGCCAGGAGCTTTCTTGGCCATTTGACATCTGACAATGCTTCTTTCTTCTGAGAACATAGAGAATAAAGCTGAGATATCCTTTTATCACTGTATTTTGCACTACCATGAGAAATTCTTGCATGCCTGCTGTTTTTGTCTCTGTTAGAGAAAAGCAACCCAGTCCTAGTGCCCAAAAAGAAAAGGAAAAATTGAGTACAATCACTTCAGCATTAACAGCTCAAACACGAGATAACATAAGATTGGGCAAATCATCCTCTCCAAGCCAGCTCTTCATTAAATGAAGATAGTACTTGGGGTTTGGGAAGGTCAAAACAAGATGTAAAATACTTTACTAGGCACAGAGTGTGTTTTCTTTCTCCCTTCTGTGAGAGCACTGTTCTAGATCAGGTTATTTTAAGGAACACATCAAATTAAACAACATATGAAGAAGTCAAAAAGCAGCAGATTCTTTGCACGACAGATCTTTATGTAGATGTTATTAAAAATCACTGCCTGATTCTTGGATCTGAAGGCTTTTAACCAAAGTGGCAAACACCTGTGGAGATACTGCTCCTACCACACAGAATAACTATTTCCATGGAGGCACACCATTACTGCTTTCAGGAAGACAGGAAGCAGCAGCATTTTATAGGCGAAAGAGTTCTAGATCAACACTCTCCCCCCTGGACTGCCCTACTTTTTCTCTCCTCTGGACATAAAAACACGTACTCAAGTCAGGGCCACACTGGTAGAGCTGATGGGGCACCATGCTCTGTAACAAACACTGACAGAAGTTCAGGCAACGTCCTTCTCCTCCCTTGCTTGAGAATGTAGACGCTGCTGCTGAAGTGAAGAATACCTCAGAAACATCCATTGCCTCACTTCTAAACTCTTTTCAAGGGAAAAACTAAATCTTCACCTGAAAAGAAATTCCAGGATACTAGTATCAGTTGAGTTGTCCAATTTATGGGAAGAAACTATAAATGAATAGTTTCTATACTTAATTACCACCAGTAGTGTCAGCTTTGGAGGTAAAGGTGGTTATTTTAATGGAGAGAAAATCTTTTTACACGCATTAAAAGGGGGACTAGCAAACTACTGCCCATGGCCAGCTGCCTGTTCTTGAAAATAAAGTTCTATTGGAACACAGCCTCACCCATTTACTTCTATTGTCTATGACAACCTTCATTCAGCGGAGTTGAGTAGTTGCAACACCATATATGGCTCACAAAGCCTACAACATTTGCTATCTGGCCCTATAACAAAAAGTTTGCCAACCCCTGCACTGAAAGATTACCACGCTATAGACCTTCATTAAAAAAAACTAGGGTAGAATACAAAAAACACAAATGACATGCTTGCTCTGATTCAGGCACTTTCAAGATCATAGTTTATTTATTACTTCAGATAAAAAGATAGTATACATATTAGGGAATCCCTTAAAATTCAACTCTAGAGTTATACACCATCTAGTACTTTTGCATTGAATGTTAACCAAAAAAATCTCTAAACACCTGAAAGCCCCACTATTAACATGAACTATGATAATAAAAAATTTGACATTTAATTTGTTCAATATATAGTATTTACATTATGAAGCCAATGGTGATACGATAAACAGTGATAAGGAAATAGTAAAAATAAACTTTAAAAAGCAAAGATTTATAGTCTTACAATGTGCTAATTATCATAATTGTATAGAAAAATCAAAACATAGCAGAGCTTTCTGTTACAAAATTCTTAATCATCTGAGTTGTAGTCATTACTTGCTAACAATTTACATGCAACATCTGCTAGGACTGACATTTGATTTGAAGTGTGAGTAGATAAATGACACTCAAGAGCAGACATTAATTTACTTGTGGAGAGAAAAAGAAAAAACTGTACTCAAGATTAGTACTGGTCACAAGCCTCTTCCCTACAGAAATGATAAAAATAGTAAGATCCAAAAAAAATCCAAAAAAGGAGATGCACAGGCAAAAAGTGCCATGAATGGCACAGCTCAAAAAAATCTTGGGACCAATCAGACACATCTTTTCTCTCTCCTTCAATGATGAGAGGTCTGTTCTGCCATCAAATAATAATGACTGAAGCAACTGAGGGGCACCAGGTGTACAACTAATTAAATCTTGCAAAATACTAAGATGGAGGCAGGGGTGGCCAGAAGAAGGGGCAATTTATATATAATTCAAACTATATACAGCATAACTGGAATGCAGCCCATCCCAAACTGGCTTCGTGAAACAGTTGGACCTTTATGATTTAATAGTTAAAATTATAACAAGTGTAATAATACAATAGATTTACATGGGAAGCAAAATCCAAGGGGCATTTTATATTATTTACTGTGTTGTTTCAATTTAAAAATAATTTTGCTAAGTATACATCTCAACTGAGGTCTATGTATAAAATGTCCTAATAGATACAGATATTTACCTTTGGTGAGTTAAAGGCCTTTTTGTGACTTCTGTCTGAATTGTAGGCAGAATGCTAGATGTACATGCACATGTGGGAAAAACTCAACCTGAGGTAATCCAAAAGATGTGCATGTGAGCAGACTGGAGGTACTTTGAAAGTCAAAGCATACCAGAAACCCAAAACGGGTAACAGTGAGAATGGCAAGAAGGAATGGAATGCCAATGTGGCAGTAAAACTTTTTTTAAAACAGAAAGAGGAAGGCCTCTCGTACCAGCAGAATCCTGCATACATACAAAAAAGAAAAAGCCACCCACCGTTTTAGAAAATAAAAGCCAATTATAGTGTGGAAAGTACAAATTGCAGAAAACCAGAAGTCAATAGAAGAAAAACTACTGGTTTACATGAGAGAGAACACTTCATTCTGAGCAGAGTTACTTGGTGAACGCTGCCACCACCGCCCACAGAACCTCATTGGTGTTGGCCTTCAGACATTCCACTTCAGGATCCAAGTCGAGGAGCTGCCGCACTCTCTTGGTGGCTAAATCATACTGCTCGTCCAGAAGGGGAGCAAAAGCATTCTCCAGAACATCCGAGGCGTGGGCTAGGTAAATGAGGGCCAGCAAGCGCTTGTCCATGCGGTGAGGGTCATTTACCCATTTGTCAAGAACAGCTTCCTGTACCTTCTTGATGAGACGCTGCTTAATGTTGTTGTTGGTGAGGGGATGTGTTGTCATGTCAAAAAGTAGGAAGTTCTGTTTCTCTGTTGTCAATACACCCTTTTCCACCAGGTTTTTAGCTAATCGTTCCCGCACATTTCTTAATTGATAATGCAATTTTAATGGATTCCATGTCTCACCTAAACAAAAGATTTCAGAAGTTAGAAATGAAAGTATCATCTGCTAACTTAATAAAATTTTGTACTTTTATTAAAATGAACAGTAAAATTTGATTTTCTTTCCTCCAGAGAAATAGAAGAAAATCCAACTATGTTTTCTTGCCAACTAAACCATGAACCGCTTGAGGGACAGGCCCCTGGGTTCTAAACACCTGGCCCGTTTTCAGGCACAACAGTTACTCGAAAGACCAAATGAGCCAAATATTAAATTATGTTTGGCCTCTCTCCACAGTTGTTGTCAAAAAGCAGCCAATAGCAAAATAACATGTTTCTTTTTGTTAAACACCAATCTGCAACAAATAGACAAAAGAAAGTTTCTCTTGAGAGAAACCTAAGTGAGCCCTACTACTGCCCAAGCTTACTACCTGAAGGCATACTCTAGGCAGCAGAGCAGGAAGGAAGACCCCAAGCAGAGCACAGGAGTCACAGTGGTTTAAGAAGGCAGAGATCAGAGTTCTGGGAGGCATGAGCAACTGGAATATGCAAGGCACAATACTAGAGAAGAGAGAGCTATGCAGAATAAGAAATCTGCAATGGTGTTCCCTTGAGTCTGGCTGAAAACAAGGCTGCTTGTGTTAAGGTGAGAAACTCCACAAGGCTGGGCAAAGGAAAACGACCAGAAAGTTGTCAGCTGAACAATTTCAAGAGTTCACATAGAACTGGGAAAAACTTGAGTGCCAATAGCCTGAAAGGAAAGGCCTCACTGAAAACCCAAAACATTCAGAAGGGACTCCAGAAGGATCACACCTTAGTAGCAAGGCTAAACTAGCCCATGAGTAAAGGCTACTCTAGACCTGACCTAACAAAGCGTAAAAATAAGCTGATCCAGGTGCCAGCCCAGTGGCGTAGTGGTTAAGTTCGTTAGCTCCACTTCGGCAGCCCAGGGTTCCTAGATTTGGATCCCGGGCATGGACCTACACACCGCTCTTCAAACCATGCTGCAGCAGTGCCCCATATACAAAAAGCAGAGGAAGATTGGCACAGATGTTAGCTCAAGGACAATCTTCCTCACAAAAAAAAAAAAAACGGAAAACAATAAAAAGAATGAATGATCTGGAACTGCCGTTGTGCATTTTGCAATTCATTCTATAAAACTAGGGACTTCAAAAAAGTTGTCAAATACTGAAGGGTTGGTACCATGAATTATTAGTATGTTGAAGTCACCTCCTGCATTCAAATAAAAAGGCCTGGCAAACCTGCTTCCACAAAAGAAAAACTATCATTGCATTCAATTTCCTTTGTAACTTCAAAACGGAAAAGAGCTGAAATGTGTTTGGGACCCTACTAAATTTAAAAACCTAATAATATGAAAAAAAACATAATACAATAATAAATGAAATTCTACTTATTTCCATTTCAGATGTTAAACAAACCACACCTACATTTAAAGTTAAGAAATAATTAACAGTTACTTGATGAAGCTTATGGCCTGACAAGTTATAACAAGCAGCTCTGGAGCCAGACTGGTCGGATGTGGGTCTCAACTTGGTCATCTCCTAGCTGGGCAACCTTGGGCAAGGTTCTTTAACCTCTCTACTCCTGTTTCCTCATCTATAAAATGAGGATAACAACTGTATCGAGTGTGTAGCGCTATTATGAGGGTTAAATGAGTCAAAGACATATCAAGTCCTCAGAACTGAGCCTGGTAGGTGGTAAGCTCTCGATAAATTTAAGCTATTATTATTTATCCACATACAGAATCAGCACTTTAGCCAAAAGAATTTACCATATTTGTAACGATGTGAAAAATCACATTAGGTACTGAGAATACAAACATAAGTAAGACATATTTCTAACACAGTAGGAACTTAAAATCAAGTGAAGGAAACAGATTCATAATACAACTAACCATACTGGCTAAAATAAGATGTACATAAGGCCATAAAAACAATATGAACAAAGTGCCCAGAGGAATAAGAAATTACTCGGGTTTGATGTTAAGGGATATTTCTAGGAAAGTTACAGGGGAAAGAACTTTCAAGCTAAATCCTGAAATCCAGCATAAGTCATCCTATGAAAGGAAGAGGAGCCTGCATTCCATGCAGAAAAAACAACAAAATAGATAGGCAATGATTACATGCAGAATTTTAATTGTTGTACCAACCCACTGTCTTCCCAATAAATAAAATGCCTGCCTGCCGCACCCTTCACCAGACAGTTTGGGTTTTGTTTTGTTTTGTAATGTCATTGGCACATGGTAGGCAGCCTAACACAGTAGGCTAGAATTGGCTAGGTTGTGTTTTCTGACATTCTTAATTGACTTTTGGAAATTTAAATTAATAAACATAAAATAATCAGTAGTCAAATTTACATAAAAGCCTATAAAAAACTGCAGTTCAAGTCTAAGATTAATTAACTATGCTTATAATAATTTGTCAATTATCAAAGAAACACTATTCCCTGGCAACTCACTATTCTATGCCTCAGAGAATATCTTGGGCATCTGTGCCCAAACAATATGGGTAGGAAGAAAAAAAAAAATCAAGTATTCTGAGAAACTCATAGTTAAATTTTTCTTTGAAGACCTAAAAAAACCAAAAATCCCTCTAATGCTGCTACAATTTTTTTCTTCCTCATGGGAAATAAATGAGATTATCAGTTTATGACTTACTGTCTATTTTACTGAAGTCATACTCAGGTTTATCCACACGTTATCCACAAGTAAATCTTACACATTGCAACTAATGGAACGAGCTAATGCCTACGAAGCTCCTGTGAGAAATTCCCCAAGTGCAAAATATGCTGCCTTACAGTTTAGTGTTGCTTCTAAAAACAGGAAGAGCCAGGACAGACCCACCTTCAAATAAGGTGTTCCATTTATGACTGGACCTTCTCATGGGCAATCACTTCTGCCTCAGAGGAAGTAATAAAAAAGGACTGAGACATCATCTTCTTTTGTAGCATTCCCCTAGAAAAGGGCAAACCTTGTGTGCTCAACTCCAACAAAAATGTTATTCAGATCTCTTCAAATATTTGAAAACAATGAAGAAATCTCATAAGCAGAAGGCTGAAACAGTATGGGTTACAGGCAAATATTGTTTAATACTATTTTTGGCACCCAAAAAAAGGTGCAATGAAATAACTCTGTGCAAGTGTCTTGGCACCCTGAGATTTCTGCCTTTTAAAAAAGAACCAAATTAAGCTAAATCCAAAAAATAAAGTGATCCCCGAGATTAGCATACTTAAGACACCATTATAAATTGGGATGAGAGGAGGGTGGTTGGATGAGTAAAGAGAAGATACAATAAAGGTTTAACTTCTACTAGCTACTAAAAATTTAGCTGCTTCAATTTAAGCAGAATATTGAATATGTTTTAAATACTTTATAATAAATGCCTGATGAATGAACAGTGCTCAAAATTCTAGATTTTTAAAAAGATGTTACTGTGATCCATATTGTTACTGATCAGTCCCTAAATTATTCATTGTCTATGTGAAAAGACTATAAGTTAAGCACGAGAATTTAAAATGCATAGAATTTATTTATAGTTCACCTTTTTGTAAAGGAAATTGTGAGAAGTATACACAGAGAGGAAAAGTTCTTCAAAGATCACTTATATCCGTTGCCCAACAATTACTTCAGTGTAAATGACATACTGACAGGCACCTAAATAATTTCACTACAAAAATCTTCTATCTTCCTCGACATCAAGCTACAAAACTAAAAGCAGCTTTGTTCATAAATGTGGCACTCTAGTGACACCTTGTGACCAAAGTGATCAACTACATGTCTTAAGATTGCAGAAAGCCAGTCTTTAAACATTTTGAAGTCTTTGTCTCTAATATATGTATATTTATTAAATTGTTGACTAATGAGATACATAAATAATGTCCACAATTTATCGGTAGTTTTAGGATGTATATACATACAGTGTAAGTAGCAATAAAATGAACCTCTAGGTATCCCTCCACCCCAGATAAAAGAGACCTTCATCAGTACTTTTGAGTGCCGCCCGAGTGCCTTCTCCTCGGAGGCAATCACCAGACTGACTTCTGTTAATCATTCTCTTCTCTTTACATATAATCTTACCGCCTATGCACATACCTCTCAACAATATGGCATAGCACACAGTTTTGAAAACCAAGTAGCAAGCGCAGACTTAGCCGTGTAAGGACAGGTCTTTTACTACTCCCTCTAATGGCTCTGAACAGGAACACTTCCTTCTTTTTGTCTCATTGTTACCCTTCAAAGGCCTAATCCAAGTTCCCCTTCCTCCTCCAACTACCAAAGCTCTCAAGGATTTCTCTTTTCTCTGAGCACTGCACTTTCAGACAACCAGGTTGTTAAACTCTTATCTGTTATCAAACTATGAGAAACATACAACTGTTCCCCCCAATGGATTTTAAGATTCTTTTAGTCTGGAAGCACGTTTTTTTCCTAAGTTTCATAGCACTTATGTCAGTATTGCTGCAATAACTGGTATTTGATACCATTCATTACCTTGAAGCAACTGAAATTTTTAAAAATTTAAAAATCAACAAGCTGGCTACAGAACTGAGCACTTAAAAATGGCTAAAGTGGTTAAGTGTTGTGATGTGTACCTTTTACCACAATAAAAAGAATGCTGTTTTAAAAAAAAATCACCAAGCTGCTATCAGCACGTTAACTACGTAGGAAGTAGTTGTTTTCTTAATTTAAAAGAAATGTGCTTTGTCCTCCTTCTCTCACTCTGAATTCCTTTGTATGCTGAAATTACGATTCATTTCTAATATATGTCCAAAACATGCAACTAAAGTGCTATAAGGCGATATTCTGGCCTAAACTTACAGGATATTGTTTTAAAAAAAAAAAAAAAAAAAGTATTAGCCTCACAGTAACCCAAATTCCTAATTCAAATGGACACTGACAAAACCTTCACTGTACATACAAAACTGAGACTCCTGCCATCTTTTTACTCCTCAATCAGGTGAGAACAATACACAAGGAGCCCAAGTTGATAACCAAGTTCAGGCAGTATTTATATTGATTACTGGATAAGTTACTTTCACAAAATGTTATGTACCAGATAAATTTAAGAAGTATACAGCCTCCTGGGGCTGGCCCCGTGGCCGAGTGGTTAAGTTCGCGCGCTCCGCTGCAGGCGGCCCAGTGTTTCGTTGGTTCGAATCCTGGGCGCGGACATGGCACTGCTCATCAGACCACGCTGAGGCAGCGTCCCACATGCCACAACTAGAAGAACCCACAACGAAGAATACACAACTATGTACCGGAGGGTTTTGGGGAGAAAAAGAAAAAAATAAAATCTTAAAAAAAAAGAAGTATACAGCCTCCTTAAATGTTGAGATTCAACCTCTGCATGCCACACTAACTGAATTCATACTAATGAACTCAATTTAAGGTATATAAACTGTCCTAGGAAATCTGATGGGAATTGGTTATTAAACCAAAGCCCAAAGTGCTGTTAGCACATGTAATGTAAGATAGAGAGATCACTGATGGATGGAGCATCTGAAAACATCTCCATATGCTAAGTGGCACAATAACATCAATGTTAAGGCAAAACTCACTATATTCCATAAAAAGAACTTGAGCACTGGGACTTGTCTGCCGAAAAATTAAGTACAACTTTGAGAAACTCTCCTTTTGGCCAGTGAAGAAACCAATTACAAATTCTAATTTGCAATCACAGAAGTGGTAATGAGCCACCAATGGCAGCACAACATAGAGCATGACCCAAAGAGTACCCAGGCCAGCGATCTCCTTAGAATGTGCAAAAGGATCCATTGGGGTACTCTATTTTTATCTAAAAAAATTGTATCTACTAATATTTAACACATGGAGTTAATGTTAACACCCTGAGTCTCTGTCAAATGGCTGCCATGTCGCCAAGAGGCATAAGTGGAAAGCTAACCCAGAGGGGACTGAGAATGTGATGGACACAGTGACGTACTGTACTGGTATGTGCTGTGTAAGTGGATTTGTGGATTATATTATCTAGTTTTAACCAAATAAATCCTCATCAAACAAGCAAAGTAATTTTAAAAGATTCCTGCAAAAGAAATTATAATTGAAGACAACATCAATATCACAAACACGAAGGGGGAAAAGGGTAGAGTTAAAGTTGCTCTTAATGAAGTAACAAAAAACCGTATCAGCAGATCTAAAAAGGATGGTCAAAATAAAAATTTCAAAATCATCAAGAGGACTGTGTGAATAAGTTTATGTTCTCTACCAATAAGAAGGAAGAGTGAAGGCTGCCCTAAGTGCAGAGTGCCCATTATTACTCCATTAGCTAAGAATAGGGTATGTGTATTCAATTTTTAAATAAACAAACATGCAAAACTCAAAATCTTTTACTGACAGAAGAACAACTATCTTAGAAACTATTTATAAGTGAGAAAAATTCATGTTAATTACCAATCTCTGACAAGGTCCAAATGTTTTTAAAACAGTTCCTCTAAACAGGAGTATGCTTGAACATGAAACGAAATAACAATACATGTATGCAGAAGTTCTGTTTTACATAACAGTAGAGAGGAGAGCAACATAACTTGGGTCCTATACTCAAGCAGCCCACTACCTACAAGATTAGACAAATACACAAACAACTTTAATATAAATGTAATAGTCATTAGTGCCATCACCCAAACATTTCAGGTTCTCCCCTACAGCTGCACTTTCCTGTCTCCTTCAAGTTAGGGGAGGCCATACAGTTTGCTCTGACCAATGAAACCTAACTGTGTGTCATTTCTGAGTAGAAACTTAAGTGATGTGCTGTGCTCTTCTTCCCTTTACAACAGTGACTGACAATGCTTGAGATGGTGGCGGATCCACTCAGGGTTGCCAGAGTGAGAATGAAGTCGCCTGTGATGGACTTAGCATGAGTGAGAAACAAAATGGTATTTTAGAGCACTGACGTTTGGGGGCTGTTTGTTACCACAGCTTAACCTAGCCTATCCAGAATAAGGTAGCGTAAGGTCATTTAGATAAAGAACGGCAGGAGCTCTAAGGAAGAATATTACATCTCATTCAACAGTCTGTTAAAGGGGATGAAATTTTAAAAACCACTACTTTCCCCGTTCAGTGACTGATAACTTTCAAGTCTGTCTAAATAACTAAACAAGCTTTTGGCTATTTTGCCCACGTTTCTTTCAAAAACATTTTAAACTTTTACAAAAAACTCTCAGACATAATTCAGCTTTTAGTTTATGCAAAGAAACTTACCACTAAGTAATTCAATCCAGTTCTGGACAGTCTCTGGAGGCTGAGTCTCCTTAACATGCTTCAGAGCTTCGTCAAGAAGAACATCCCCTGTTGGAGCATCTGACTTACAGATCACCTAAAACGGAAGCAATAAGACAGACATGATCCCGATTCCTTTCCTCTGACTTGATCTCTTCAAACAAAAAACTTAATTATGCAAATAATTCATTATGTTTAAAGTCCCAAGAGTTCATACAGTGTCAAAGTTCAGATTTTAAATTAATTCTCTATTAAGGAAATCCAATATTCAAACTCACCAGATTAGCTACAATCATGAATGAAAATAAAGTTACTACGCAATAATCAGTAAAGGAAAATGCTAAAACAGTTTATACTCACTGTAATTCACTTCATTGTTGAACCTGGGGCTATTTGATCCAGAAATTCATTTTTTAAACCTTTATTAGCTCCAGAAAGAGCCTCGGTTATATATAAGAATTCTGTATATGATAAAGGTGGCGTTTTTACATCAATGGAGAAACGAATTTTTCAGTAAATGTTATTTAAAACAATTGGCTATCAAATTAGAAGTAAAAAGTAAGATTTGGCTCCTCAGAGCTTATACCACAATAAAAGATAAAGATTTAAATATGAAATATAATTTTGGGGATGAGAAAGGTTTTTTCAAAATTGTAACAGAAACCTTGAAGAAAATAGCAACAGGTTTGATTACATAAAATTTTTAAATACTATCAAATTCGTTTTTAACTACATTGGGTATAGAATTTATCTTAAGAGGGGACAAATCCAGACACGGGGGATGAACAGAGGAAAATACTATACTGCTTTAGCCAAGTATTATATTCCTATAGCCTTCATTAATGTTCTTGGATAAGCAACAAATTCTTAATTGAAATTCTATAAAATCAAATTTGAATCTGTTATATTACTTTATGTCTGTTACATTATTTTATGTTAGCTATTAAAAGGCCATGAAATTTAACAATATTATTTTTTAAATGCAACAGTCCTCTCTTAAATTTGCCCTCAACAATGTGCCCTTTACCCTTTTTGTTCAATCTTCTGAAAGATTAAAAAATACATACAATATCTATTTGAGAAAGCATGACCTAACAGAAATGTAAGTGGAACCACAAATGCAAGCCACAAATCTTTTAAAATTTTTAGTAGTTATATCAAAAAAGAAAAAGAAACCTGTGAAATTAATTTTAATATATTTGATTTAACCCACTATAGTCAAAATACTAACACGTAAAAAATATTTTCAAATTAAGATATTTTACCTTCTTTTTCCATAGCAAGTCTTCAAAAATCCAGTGTGTGTTTTTATTTACACCATCTCAATTTGCGCTAGCCAAATTTTAAGCATCTGGCTCATAGACACATGCAGCTAGTGGCTATGGTATTAGTGCAAATATAGAACATTTTTATCATCACAGAAGGTTCTACTGGACAGTGTCATTCTAGTCTATGCTTTTAGTTGGGGGTCAGAGAGAATAAGAAAAAAGAAAGGAGAACTTTGGGAGAAAAAGTTGTAAGTCTACAAACTGGTCATGCCACCACTTCTTACTTCCCACTTACTCCTTAAAGCCACTGTAATCTGTCCTCAAACCCACCTCACGCCCACTCCTTTGAGACAGGTCTCATACCAGGCTCACAATAACTTGGGTATAGCTGGATCTTTCTTCTTATCAAATTCTGTCCCCTAATCTCTCTCAGAGGGACAATTTTTCTCCATCACCTCTGCAGTTATTGTAATCTGACTAATCTGGTTATCTTTCACTTAGATTAACTTAAATTTCCATGAACTAGTTTTAGCCCCTTTCAATCCATTCTCCTCACTGATCTTTCCAAAAAGCCAATCGTATCATGACATCCCACTGCTTCTGCTTAAAATTCTTCAATTACTTCAATGAGTAAGTTCTCAACTCCTTAACAAAATTCACTAATGTGTGGCCTATTAGTAAATATTCTCTGCCCACATATATAATTTCTAGTTAGTGTTTTTTTTCTTGGAGGGGGGAGCCTCATTCTCAAATATGAACAGATAATCAAGGATGTTAAGACATGTGAAGGAAAGCCTTTAACATCAGAAAAGACCAAAAGAAAATCTCAAAACTTTTTCCTTCCACAAGGGTAGAAGAAAATACTAGATCCAGAAAACAGGAGGTTGTTTTCTGGAAAAAAGTGACACAAAGTCCCAGGAGAACCAAAGCACAACCAGTCTAGACTGGAGCACAAGGCAAATTTTAATGCAGTCATCAATGTATTTGAACATCTGAAAATTAATAATGCTAATTTTTCTCTGATGGAACATGTAAGAAAAAGGATGGGTACGTAGAAAACTTTAAAAAGAAGAATTATTAACTCTAGAAAAAACTATACAACAAAGAAAAATATCATAGGATATAACTTAACTCTGCAGACAATAACATTAAGATAATCGTAATAATATAAAAAATCATTACTGTTTTGCCAAAAATTATGAAAGAATCTATTAGGAAGATGAGGGGACAGGAGTAGAAATATGGAGGTAAACTCCAAAAGAAACAGCTAAGAGAACTGTAGCAAGTTGACTGGTGGCCATCAAAAGGTGTCCGTGTCCTAACCCCAAGAACTTAATCCCCAAATCTTATTTGCAAAAATTAAGTCTCTGAAGATGAAATTAAGTTAAATTAGATCTGGAGATGAGATCATCCTGGATTATCCAGATGGGCCCTAAATATAAAGAAAGTGTCTAAGAGGCACACAACATAGAGACACACAGAAGAGAAGCCAATGTGAAGACAGAGCAGAGGGAGATCCGGCCAGAAGCCAAGGAAAGCCTGGAGCTACCAGAAACTAGGAGAGGAAAGGAAGAGCACACTGCGGCTCCAAACAGTGAAAGAACAGACGTCTGTTGTAGCAAGCCACCAAGCGTGTGGCAATTTGTCAGGGCAGCCTTAGGAAACTAACACAAGGACTGAGACTAAGTGCCTCCCAGGAGCAGGACTAAGGAGTGAGGAAGGTGCTTAGCGATGGTTCTTTTGTGTTATAAGCCTTTTACTACCACCTGATTTTCTAAGTATTATATATATATATATATATATATTATCTAAATAAAAGCAATAACTATTTTTAAGTGAGTAAATTAAATCATACTGGAGTATCTTTCCAAGAGACATACTGACTACCTCGCTAAGATCACACAAACAAGCAGATGAAATAACAAGCCCATGTAAGCAGGGCGCATAAGTCTCTTGGTCACCACTGTATTCCCAGAGTCGAGCACAGTAAACAGCAGATTTAAGTGGTAAATAAATATATGATGAATGAATAAATGAACAAAAGAGCAAATAATTTGTTGATAACCAACACAAAACTGGTCCCACAAAAAGAACCAGTATCAAAATCTTTTCAATTCAGGTCAGGGCTCCATAACATTAATGCAAAATTACTTATAATTGCTATAGTTAATTAGTAGCAACCTATGTATTTCATTGATAATTATAATGGCAGATTCTTAAGGTTTTTTTCCTCCATAAATCAACAGTTACACAGTAAAATGAAATAAAAATTACATTCTGATTTATGATATAGTTAACAGTAATTTAAAAACTAATCTCATGTCAGTTCATTTGACTTTAAATGACTAGACTAGATTTAATTTAAAACTCCCATGAAGAATATTTTCTGTTACACTATGTTTACTTTGCATATAATTTTCAAGAATACATTCTTGGCTTTCTTTGCCTCAGGATTATTATTCTCTATAACATAGCAATCCAAAAAAGTAGAGTTCTGACCAAAAGCTTTTTGGATTTCTTTGGGACACTGTATTGAGGAAAAAACAGTTTTGAAACACAACGCCCCCAAGAAACAGTAACAGACTAGAAGAGAAACAATTTTAAAATTTGAGATTGTGGTTGAAGTTAAAATTCTATAAACTAGCCAATACAGTTACGCACTGCATACCACCATGATGGTGGTCCCGTAAGCTCCATACCACATGGCCTAGGCGTAGTTGGAGTAGTAGAGTAGTAAACTACACTATCCAGGTTTGTGTAAGCATGCTCTGTGATGTTCGTACAATGACAAAATAGTCTAATGACGCATTTCTCAGAACATATACCCGTGGCTAAGCGATGCATGACTGTAATACCTCTGTTCACAGACCACAGTGGAGAAGGCAAAGATCTGAAAAGTATTCATATTCTGCTAAAAAGATCAACCGCCTATGGAGAGTTAATTTACACAATGAGTTTTAAAAGAAAGTTATGTCAAGTCTTTCCAAATTATGGCTTTCAGAAGCAGGAAGTGAAGTTTGGAGTCTTCTCGCATACGTAAGATGCAAAGGCCAGCAATCCTGACAACAAATAACATTATTCATTATGTACAAAGAATGAAGAAACCAAGAACGCAAGAAAGACATGGAAATACAATTCAATAAAGACAACTTTAAAATCAACTTCTTTTTTAATTTTTGAAAGCTATCAATAGAAACACTTCATTTTTAGGCAGCACAAACTCTTTAAAAAGAGTATGTTATTTAGGGGCTGGCCCCGTGGCCGAGTGGTTAAGTTCGCGCGCTCCACTGCAGGCGGCCAAGTGTTTCGTTGGTTCGAATCCTGGGCGCGGACATGGCACTGCTCATCAGACCACGCTGAGGCAGCGTCCCACATGCCACAACTACAAGGACCCACAACGAAGAATACACAACTATGTACCGGGGGGCTTTGGGGAGAAAAAGAAAAAAACAAAATCTTTAAAAAAAAAAAAAAAGGGTATGTTATTTAGCACGCCTCTTACCTTTCTTGTCAATAGACTTTTACGCCTCATTCCACAAGCCTCTAGTTGTAACCTTCCTCTCAACGCTAATTCAATTAACATACAGCCACGTAATCCAGATGATATACAGTCATTCCAAAATGATGTGTAACCCTATTAAAAGAAGAAAATAAAATAACTAATTCACTTCAAATACAGAGTCAAAAATAGAAATATTTTAGCCAAAGTTATTTTTGGTGCTTCTTATCTTTCATGTCTTTCCACAATTATAAGTAAAATACTGAAAAAATTAAATTACTATACATTACTAAGCTAGGATTTTCAGGGGCTTATTGTCTTTTCACTACTTATCATTACATGCAGATAAACAACTTTGAAAGTCAAATGTTTAAAACTATAATTATCTTTCATTTTTCAGTAAGTTATGTATTTATTAGGCTCTTTCAGACTATAAGAACCAGGACTTACCCACTCAGTTAACCACAGATTATAGTGGTTTATTTTTAGTATATGTGAGCAAGTTAAGAAGCTCAGGAAAACCAACCACACCTCATGTGGCGTCATAGAGAATTAGAAGATCCTTCATTCAATGCTGCTTAGGATACAAACACAAGGTTTACTTTGGAAGGATATATTAAAAAACTGATGCATGGGCCCATGCTGAAAGTTCTGAACAAGCAGTGAAGCAATCAGATGGAACCCCACAAAGAGAAATTCAAGAGCATCATCCAAGGTGGAAGAACAGCCAGACAGAATGAGACTGATCGACATCTAGGGATGTGGGGACACTCAAGTCAACCAGGCTTCACCAGGTGAAGTCAGGGCACTCTTTCAGAGCAAATAACTGGAATTGCCCAAATTATGAAGCCATAAACTTTGCCAGCAGGGTTGTAAGCTATCAATTTGAAGTACCCAACTCTGACGAGAAAGCAGAAGCTATAGCTGGCTCTAGTTAAGATTCAGGGGCTGGCCCCGTGGCAGAGTGGTTATGTTCACACGCTCCGCTTTGGTGGCCCAGGGTTTCAGCGGTTTGGATCCTGGGCACGGACATGGAACCGCTCATTAGGCCACGTTGAGGCAGCGTCCCACATGCCACAACTAGAAGGACCCATAACTAAAATATACAACTACGGACTGGGGGGATTTGGGGAGAGAAAAATATATTGGCAACAGTTGTTAGCTTAGGTGCCAATCTAAAAAAAATAAAAAAGATTCAAAACAGGGTAACATACAATCTTGGCACGAGTCCTGGAGAGCAGGCCAACTGATTCTCTGAAGAGTGGACAGCCTTAGGATTAGGGAAGCCTACACCCTTTGTTCTGGCACCTTCTCACGGTCAGTCTTGGTACTTTGCTCAGTCACAGTAGTCAGCCTTAATTCCAGAAGACAACTGACCATCAGGATCCACGGGACTTCATTAGTGACACAGGGACTTAAATTAGCAAAAGGAGGCTACGACTCCTAAGGATGAAGGCTTTGGGAAAATGAGAATTTAGATTAAGTGAGCCAAAAGGGAATAAACAAAAATATCAGTTTAAAGAGGCCGATTTAAATGTGAGGCAGGGGAAACAGACACTGACTGTATTTAAGGGACTCTTTTTAAATTTAATAGGTGTTAGGGGTCTGATCAAATTAAGATTGCCAAAGATTTAGCAGAGCATTTACTAAGACCAATAATTTACAGAAGTCAGGTAAAATCCCTGACAGTTAAAGCCCCAGGAAGCCGGGGAAGGGACTCCACGTGAAATCAAAGTCACAGATGTCTGGTCTTGACTGGCCTGGACATACAGATGGAGTTCCTAGATGAGCCTCTACAAACTGTAAACAACAGAGTACACCTCATGAAGCAGTAATGGATGTGGACAGGACCATGCACTGTCTCTGCAGCCTGGAAAATCCAGGTGAACAGTATGTAAAAGCTTACATGTGCTAGCAGAGGACGAAATATGTCTCAACCTCAACTGCTCCCAGGGTAATGGTATACCCAGAGATGTCAGCAAAACGGAGCCTTTAATAAGACTTCAAAGATTTACATTTACCAGATGGGTTTTGGGCATTACCACTAAAAGACACATGCTTAACCAGAATTGAATTCATGTGAAAAGTAGACAAATGGGCATGGATAGTTCTATACCAAAGATTCTGGGACTCACTAGCAATATTTCAAAGATAAATGAAGCAATCAAAGTCATACCAAGCAATAGTCTGGCATGTTGATGACCACCTGCTAAACTCCACATGAGAAAAATACGATCAGGAATTAACCAAGTCGGGGGCGGGGGTGCGGGGGGTAGTACTAAAAAGAGCAGAGTTAAGTGAAAATTTTTTAATGGTGTAACTGGCTCAGATGGCAATGACATCCTTGAGAATTAAGTACATTAGAGGAAAAGCAGCAGACTGGGAGAGAAACAAGCGAATTTGGTCAGGACCCAGGCCAGCAAGACTCTGCAGTAGATCCATGCCACAACACTTGTGTGACAGACCCCCGGCGGGCAGAACTACTAAGAGTCAGAAGCTGGAGCACCAGCTTTGGCCTTGCTAAGCGCTAAGGAGCTCTTTAAACCTTTTAATCGCTAGTGTTAACCTTAAAACTACATTTCATCAATTCTAAAACATACATTTTAAAAACGTAGTATCTCTGTATGAGATGACAGATGTTAACTAAACCTAGTGCAGTAATCATTTCACAATATATGTAAACCATACCATCATGCTATACACCTTAAACTTACATGGTGATGGATGTAAATTTTTTCTCAATAAAACGGGAAAATCTGAAACTGGGATGCATTTTAAAACAGACGATACCCTTAGGCTAAAAGAAATATGGTACTACAGCTATTGAGCTGACCTAAACTCACGGAAAAGAGACATATGGCATAGGCCTCACAGATGCACAGCAGTGCAGTGATGAACTAGGGTTCAACTTGTCAGTTACTGGGATTACTTAAAATCTGGTACAAGACTGGGTGACTGAATATCCAGATCTAGGCATGCCACCAATCCAAGTGACCTCTCAGAAGAACAGATTTTACAAGGAAAGGTCAATAACGACCATACTGCCCCAGAGGATTTTGTCCTCAAACTGCTAGTAATAATTACAACCTGTAGTCTAGACAGATGGTTGGATTTTTAGGGCATGAGAGTGTCTGTAAAAATGTTATATCCCATCTGTCAAGCAGAGCAAGGCAGCCACATTAAAAATGATAGTAAAAATAGGTGAGAAAGACCTGGCAATATCAAGCAGTTTATGACTTGGTTCAAAACACACAAGCAGCTGCATCTCAACCATATTGTGAGAAGGTAAAGAAGTAGCAATGATGATTATTATAGCCAATTATGACTATGTATTCAATGACACTACAAAGCTCCTGCACTTAGAAGCCAACAATCATTTCAGACCCTCAAAGAGGTTTGAGATTCTACCATCAGTAATGGAGGAAATATCTTCATGCCCTGTTCGTCCACAGATAGGGTACTAGTGCTCAAAATTCAGGGTCACACTAAGGGAGAACCACTGGCCAGTCAACTTGCTGATGAGGAAGCAGTAGCTGTACTAGAAATAACATAAGCCATAGGACCCTGAGGATGTCCCCTACTCATTGCAGAAGAAACAAATGGGTCTTAATGGAGGTTAGAAGACCACAAGAAAACTATTTCGGGGCCCTACAAGTTCAAAATTGTGATCAGAAATCAGATCGAATGTTCTAAAATATAAGTATGGGAGGGGCCGGCCCAGTGGCGCAGCAGTTAAGTTTGCATGTTCCGTTCTCGGCGGCCCGGGATTCACAGGTTCGGATCCCGGATGCAGACATGGCACCACTTGGCAAAAGCCATGCTGTGGTTGGCGTCCCACATATAAAGCAGAGGAAGATGGGCATGGATGTTAGCTCAGGGCCAGTCTTCCTCAGCAAAAAGATGAGGATTGGCAGTAGTTAGCTCAGGGCGAATCTTCCTCAAAAAAAAAAAAAGGAATAAAATATAAGTATGGGAGAGGCAGAGATATCCCAAGTAGAGTCAGGTCATACACTAGCCCCACAAAATCTAGAGGAACATGATGTCACTTGGTTCATGGGTCCAAAACAAGGGGGAACATGCAAGAATAGAGAATGCCGTTAAGACCCTAATATAGTAGTACTGATGATTTGGGATGCCAGAAAGTCAAAAACAGGTACATTCAAAGGTTATGCCATGTGCAGATCACAGGCCTCCAAAAAACTAAGAACAGAACATAAGAGGGCCAGCCCCAGTGGCCTAGTGGTTAAGTTTGGTGCACTCTGCTTCAGAGGCCCAGGTTCGGTTTCTAGGCACAGAGCTACACCACTCCTCTGTCAGCGGCCATGCTGCAGCAGTGGCTAGCATAAAAAAAGAGGAAGATTGGCAGCAGATGTCAGCTCAGGGCAAATCTTGCTCAGGAAAAAAAAATACATATACATACATACACAGACACACACACATAAACAAATTTGGGGGGAAAAAAAGAACATAAGAGACAGAGAAACAGAGGGCCCTGGAAACTAATTCAAAGCACCTCTATTTGCCTTTCACCAACTATCTACTTTAATAATAACAAATAATAACCAGATAAGTAGAGAACTTCCCAATGGAGTGCCAACTAAATTGACTACCAAGTCCTGCTCCAATCAATCTTTTGTTGTTGGAATCCCCAGCATCAGAGACTCAGACAAAGGGTCAACTTTCAGGGCATACCTCATGAGGAGGTTGTGTAAATTAAACTGAGATAAATTACCTTTCTCATATAGTATGCCATACAGAACCAAGGAGCCAAGCAGAAAGAACGAATGGTACAGTAAGGAATAAGGCAATGATGCCAGGGACATGCTCTGCAGACACAATCCTTCCCTTGGTGGGCAGTTCCAAGGTCTAAATTTAGGAGAGGCTACAGGAAACCCAACACTGCTGTACATCTAAACAACCACCTCCAACCCAGCTTTTTCTGGATGATAAGATGATATTCATTTGGATCTCTATTTGCCTGATTCCCTTTTTTCTCTCAAATGGCTCATCTTGAATGCGGGAAAAGAGTGTTGTTTAGTGGGCCCCTAAAAATGCAAACACTGATAAGAGTTCTCACCATTCGAGTTGCAAGCTCCAGAAGTGCTTCACCAGCAGCTTTCTGTTGTGTAAGAATG